TTAGAACATATATTTGGGTAACCTGAGTGTCTACAGACCCAGAAAATGTGAAATAAATCCATCCAGTCGTTTGTTTGTGGTCTGCATAAGTCTTACAACACAGAGAAAAATGCTCCGTTTCAAATGTTCCGTTTCCGCTCTCCTTGTGATGTCACAATGGGATTCTGGTAAAAAAAAAATACCCTCCCCTCCCCTGGTATCTCCACCCATGGACTCCACCCAAGCCTAGAACAAATCTTAAACGCAGGTCGGCCATTTTTAATTCTCGCTACAGAGGAGTGATGTCTACGGGGAAAACTCAGGGGGGCTCATTGCATTTAAAGAGACATACACACCAAAACGGAGCGTTCTGAGAGAGCTGCTTTATACAGGGTCACAAACCTCCTCTGGTGCTTGATTCATGTTATATTTTGACCAAAGCACAGCACAGATGTTTCGTTTAGACCACAGGGGACTGTTTGGAAAGGTAGAGAAGGGGGTTATCTTTAAAATCTCCAAACCAGGGGAAATAAACTGATTAATAAACGGTGCTAATTGAATCGGAGGTCATTCCTTATAAATGCTTTTTAAATTATTACTTTAAATACAGAAGCAGAAGTGTTGTTTTCTCCTACAGAGACTTAACCTTTCACCCTCAGTTACAAAGCAGAAACAAAGCGTGCGTATTATCACAGTAAGGCAGTCTGACCAGTAGTAGGCAACATTGGGGGCGAGTAGCATCCACCCCGCTGCAGGCATCTTCTCCCCATGCTTCCTGCGACTGAAACAACCACTGAAGAAGAGGAAGAGGGCGAGGAAGAGAGGGACGTACCTGAAAGAGATGGAGGGGGAGGAGGAGGAGGAACGCCTTTTAATCTGTACAGGAGACATTTCACTGATGGATCTGTGAAGCTTGTACTTTTAATTTTGTAAATGTTCTTAATAAGAAATCTGCATAATTGGCCTTTGAAATCATTGTCCTTTCATTAGTTTAATCCTCAGAAAACACACTCTTGTCTTGTAGGTTCTTCTGGATTGCTGCTGGAGTTCAGTCTTTTATCTGCTTTTTGTAAAGCATGTCAAGATAACACTTCCTATGAACTGGCTCTAAACAAACAATGATTGATTGTCTCTCAGTTACAATGACGCTGGGCAGCTAAAAGTGAATCCATCACGGGAGGCAGGGGACAGAAATCAATAAAGGAAACATGGACACACTGCAAAATTCACAACTTTTAAAAGGTAATAATGCAAGATAACCACAATAAAAAAGGACTGTTTAAACATTAAAAGCAAAAAGACTGTAATTAATAAAAGCTATAAAGAATAAATCAGAACATTTTTTTACCACATCAGATGACCGAGAGTGTCGTCAAAGTGAAACAGAAGCTCAAAGGCATCAATCTGAAAAAACAAAGTACCGATCAATCTTTCATTAAACCATTTAATACATTTATTTTAGTAAACTTTTTTAACTATATACCTAGAAAGCAGGGTTTACAAAGTGCTCTGACACGATGAGACAGTCGACCAACAACAACAAAACACAGACAGCAAAAGAACCCAAACAAAAACCCCGTCCAACATCAGAACACAAACATCAAAATAACTCAGAAAACTTGGGTTAAGACCAAGAGGACCAACTTGTAAGAAGATAAATTAACTTTAAAAGATAGAAACAACATCACATCAAGTGATAATCAGAACAATGTAAGTCTACAGGCGTAACCAAACAGTGAATCTTATTTTCTGATGTTGAACCCACCAGCGAGGACAGTTTGAGGTCCTGCATCACTGGATTCTCTCTGACTGACAGGTGCAGCTGGTAACCAATGAGAAAGAGCCGTCGTGTGATGGAGTCCGCCACCAGGTGCAGGCTGGTTCCCATGACGATGGAGATGATGCCGAGGTGGGTGGCGAGCGGGGCGGCTTCCTGGGGCTGTGTTCGAGCATCTGCGAGAACAGAAGTTTGACTGTAATCAGAATGTCTACAGAGGAAAGACTCAGTAAAAGTTTATTCTTCAGTCGTGATGAGTTTTGCGTCTCAGTTACTTTGAGCAGAACGAGCGGAGCGCTGATGTTGTACAGGATGTGGAGATATTCTGCAACACCTGGACGGCTCAGAGGAAACCAGTCTGCTGGGAGGATGAGCTGCAGAAACATTTAACAATTAAAGAAAACTCTATTCCATCTACAAACCCCCCACTGATGAGAAAAGTCCATCCTCTCCGTCTTTTTCCTGTTCCACTTTTCAGAAAATGTGTGGCCGTTTGGAGATTTTCCCTTCATGACATCACAAAGGGCAGTAGCCCCTCCCCCAGGTGGGTGACACTCCCACAGCTAGGTGTTTGTTCTGCCCTCTGAGTCTGCCTTCTCACCGTAAACAATAGGACACGGAGCGAGAAAGGCCGAGACACCCAAGCCCTTCCAGAAAGGGGGCGTGGTCAGACACAGCTCCTTTACACATTTAAAGGTACAGACACAGAAACAGCCTGTTCTGAGCAGGGCTGAAATAGAGGGGTTTATAGGCATGATCAAATACAGGATCAGAGTGGATTTAGAACAAGAAACTTCACACACATGTTTTGGGGAGCTCTGAGACTTATTTACACTGGTTGAAAAGCAAAAACTCAACTTTCTTGTTTAGCACCAATGCACCAAGTCAAATTCCTTGTATGTGTAAATGTACTTGGCAATATACCCCGATTCTGATTCTGATTCTAAAGAACTTCAGACATTCAAGACTAGGGAAACTTATCCTGCAGGCATGAAACTTTAGATACAGTAGCATCAAGTTACCGTGGCAACAGGCCGACCCACATCCAGGATCCAGTTCTGTGCAGTGAAGCAGAGCCAGAGGTCAAAGTGGAATCGAGGCTTTAAGGACAGAACCTCAACCTCAATCTCTTCAGAACCAACCGACCGGCTGCAGAACAGAAACATGACAGGGGAAATAAAATCGTACACAAAAATGTTGAGTCCTCTTCGCTCCCTGTTTCTCCTTGTGGATTATTGTTGGACTCTTTTGAAACAAAACAGGAGGTCAGGTAATATGGGCCTAAACTGGAGGACATCTGATATTTTTAAGCCTGGGCATTTCTCTAACATAGTTTGGGGTCCAGGTTCATGTGGCTGCGAAAAAGTCCTATGCAGCATCCTTCTTCAAAGCCACCAAACTCCATGAGCAAAACAATAAATGTACCTCACACAATGAAATGTGGCAGAAGTGAGAGATTTGCTGACTCATGTATTATGATGCTCTAGTGTAAGTTCAGTCAGGAAGGCTATAACAGCCTTCTTGATCGGGTCTTTCCAATTCATCCCTCTTTGCACGCTCACTCATGTTTCCGCTGTCATGCTCGAGCTGTCATTGGGTAATCATTAGTCTTGTCAGCGGTCTCATCTAACCAATGGCATGACGTTCCTCCCTCATTGTCAGCCTGTCATCGTTCTGCTCTCCCCTTAAATATGATTCTTTCTCTGCCTTTCGTTCCTTCATGCTCAATTCTTTACCTGTCCAGTCTCATCAAGTTCTCAGCTTCACCACCACCAGGGTCTGGATTCTATGGGGGGAGGGGGTGGATTTATTCTGTTGGTGCTCAGAATTGACATTCTCCAAACACCCCCCCCACCACCACCACCACCATAGAGTCTAAGCACCAAAGTATTTCTTTCAAGTCAAATATCCATGTTATTCCTTGTAATGAATATACATTTTTGAATTTCTCTCCTGATTGAAATGACTTTATGCACAAAATTGGAGAAACCATGAAGGCTGTGCTGATGTTTGAACTTCCCCAAAGCTGTGTGATCCATAAGAGATGACTGGAATAGTTGATTAACAGTTGATCTAATGAAGAAATATTGATTTTGCTAACCTGCAGATGAACTTTGCTGCATGCAGAGCAGGGTTCTGTCTCCTCCTGATGGACGGCTGCATCCCTCCTGTCCAGTCTCCTTCTGCTCCTGAAGTTCTTTTTATTTTATTTTAGTAAAGTGAAGCAGCTGCAGAATCATTCATCTTGATCAAATCGTCCTCAGTGATGTCTTCCTGACTTTTCCTTCCTCATAGTTTCAGTCTGAATGAGATGCGAGTCCTCGAATGAGACTGTAACAAAGCAGAATGATTTCATATAACATCACGTCCTCCAGCAGCACATAATCCTGTAATCTCTATGATCCTCCTCCCAGATTTGTTATTAGGCAGCCTTAATCTGATCTGGTGTCTGATAAAGTTAGAGGCCTCTGCAGCTTTGTTCACTCTAAATGATAAATGGACTTGAGCTTGTAAAGTTATTTTATAGTTTTCTACTCAAAACCCTAAACGGCCATCAGTATTAACTAATCCCATTCACACACATTCACACTCAGATGATGAAGCAGCAACAACTTGCGGTTCAGTGTCCCTAAGGACACATAAGGCATGCAGCTGCAGGAGCTGGGGATCCAACCAGTCTGCATCGGTCTGTAAACCAGAGCATTCAGGACCAGAATCTAAAGTTAGAAGGAGGACATACTGGCTGCTGCATTGTTGTCAGAGAAGCCAGCACTTCAACATAGCATGTTTCCTTAATGTCTGATCATATAGTAAGGTTACTTTATCATTTCACTCACTACACATCTTACTGATTGGACCTTTAAACCTGGATATACAATATGGTAAATATAATATTTTCTTAATTGATATTTTAACGTTTTCTATAGGCTACATTTAAAGTCAAACCCAATGTGCAGGTTAACTGACATGCTGTAACAATCCTGAAAATAAGGTAAATAAAAATTAGGGGACCAAAAAATATTGAACGCCCTAAAAAAAACCTTCACATTGTTTTCTGTTTAGTTTTTAACTCATAGAAGAATAACTTTCTTAATTAATTAATTATGTAATTATATTCTATTTTTCAAGTCCTGTGTGCAATGTGTGTTGATTTAAAGTAAACTTTCGAATTTTGGGGATTTTGAAAAAAAGACTAAAGTGGAACTCTTTTTAGGTGGAATCTGTTCCGGTCGGACGTATTTTTAAGTAGAACTGGAACTTCCGGCAAATGACTACATAGCGAAAGGTGAAAGTGCTGTTGTTTGTTATCAAAATCGTTGTTTGTTTTCAGTTTCTGGTCATAATAACCAACAACAGATCAACTTTCGCGGCTATTAACAAGGAAACATAGAAAGTACTCAGACTTTGAGCTCTGAAGTTTGTGTTTGGACAACTGTTAGCGAACATTAGCACACGAGCTAACCGGCTAGCTCGCTCAGCTGATACCCGGACGCAGAAACCTGGAGCTGGACGCGCTCCGTGTCGGACCTCTAACCCGTGTTAGAACCGTTTCTCCTGCGCTCAGAACGGAGAATCTTCCCGTTTCATGTGTGACCTGGGGCCGGTTTGGACTTTTTAATGGGAGGCGGCTTGCTTTGGAGGAGTGGACACTGCGGGCGCCAGTTGCGAAGAAAGCGGAGGTCCTGGCTACCTGTCGGGCTCAGATGGAGTCTCTGGCCGGGTACGTGTACAAGGCAGCCAGCGAGGGCCGAGTCCTGACCCTGGCCGCGCTGCTGCTCAACCACTCGGAGGGAGAGACCCGGTACCTGCTCAGCTACGTGACCCAGCTCGCCGGACAGAGGTCCACCCCGCTCATCATCGCGGCCCGGAACGGACACGATAAAGTGGTCCGGCTGCTCCTGGACCATTACCGAGTGGACACGGAACAGACCGGCACGGTTCGGTTTGATGGGTAAGTTGCTGCCACATTCATACTGCTGCCCCGGAAGTCCCAAAAAGTTAGAAAAATATATATATCTTGTGCACACAATTCATCATCTAACTTGTATAAGATAATTGTGTACTAGTGTAATGTCATTGTTCAGTGGTTGTGTACTGTCTTACTGTTGTTAGTGTATGTTTTGTTTCTTCACAGAGACATTGTCTCTGTCTCCTGCCCTGGGACTACAGATGTAAATTAGCTTATAGCTAAATCTGGTACAGCTAATTGGCTGTACACTGTCCCTGTCAAATAAACAAATAAATTAAAAAAATAATAATACCTTGTTACCCCAGATAATAAGTTGTGCACACCTGTTCGGTTCAGAAATGTATCTTGTGCACCCAAGATAATAAGTTACATGGACGCAAAAGATAATACCTTGTTACAACCAAAAATAAATTGTGCACACGCGTCGGGCTCAGATTAGATATCATGTTATTTGAGATATTATCTCTGGCGTTTAAACTAGTTATCTTGTCAATTAGATGATAACTTGTTCACACAATTTGATTATTTTGGGCACACAATATAATTAGTTTTTGCGCACAAAATATGATCACTGTGTTTGCACAAAGTATCGTTGAACTCCAACATACGTTTACCATCTGAATTTCTGCTCGCGTTTAGTTTGGACATCCAGCATGATGGGTCCACTTTTAGAAATTTCCTTTGGTATTTGCTTAGTAATTTTGTGAAGAAGTGATAAATACTGAAAATAAAAAAGACAGACGAATGTAGAACCTGAAGCCAAAACATTTGTTTTTAAAAGTGACCGGAATAAAAAGACAGCATGTGGTAATACTCAGGTGTGAGCAGGTGCACTCAGCTGGAGGCTTTCTTTGTTTGTTTGGTTCTTGTAAGGAAATATTTAAATTTGTCAAAGTAAGCTGTTGGCAAATAAAAGAACTGCTGAGTATCGGGACTCAAACTTTGTGACTTTGTAATTACTTCTCGGGTGTTAGAAGGAAACAATTAAAATGAGAACGAGTCCCGTCACAGAAGCGGCTGCTGTTCACTTCTCCACAAGGTGAAACTATTAACCGGTTTGCCGAGCGGACCACACCCACCCAGTGATGTCACGGCCTGGTGAGAGGTAGTGCTACTTTCAGAGGTCACTAAACTGACTCATCAATTGGAGGAATCTGTTTGAATTCTTCTGAGAGATCTCAGCGTTGCGGAAGAGCGGCACAGCAGGAGCTCCACATAAACACACAGTCAGACATGCACACGCACACAAAGCGCTGTGCTTGCCCCGCAAAACGTCACAGGAGCGTTATAAAGCGGCATGAAACAGCGGCCTGGGCTTATGAGGCAGATGAGTGCTTTTACCATTTGAAAATCAAGATTCTTATGTCTTAGAAAATCTTTTTGTTGTTTGTAAAGTCTGTTGGGTCTCCTTCAGTTGAACTCTTGCGACGACACTCCATCAGTTTGCCTCTAGAAACGGAGCAGTGGGCGGTGCTGACTCTCTTCCCCCATGTGGTGGCAGGGCTAACGTTTAGAGAGGGAGGGGTTCACATGGAGAGAAAAAAAAAACATGTATGACACGTTTGAGCCTCTGAGTGAAACATAAACGAGCTGAGGGAATTGTCATCCCGTCAGTGTGAACACAGAGCTGAGAACAACCAACACAGAGGGAGTCTGACTTCACTCTCTTTTTAGGAAGTCGGTACTCAACAGCAGGGTATATTAGATACTATGACATCAGACTTTTTGGTTTTATAGTGCGGTTTAATGTGGATGTGAACTCTGACCTCAGAGAGGCGTCACATGATGTTGATGTTGACACATCCTGAGTGTTTATCTTCAAACTGTCTCCTGTCTCTCCTGCAGCTACGTCATCGACGGGGCCACGGCGCTGTGGTGTGCAGCAGGGGCGGGGCACTTTGAGGTGGTGCGCCTGCTGGTGAGTCACCATGCCAATGTTAACCACACCACCATCACTAACTCCACCCCCTTGCGGGCGGCGTGCTTCGACGGGCGCCTCGACATCGTCCGCTACCTGGTGGAGAACAGCGCTGACATCAGCATCACCAACAAGTACAACAACACCTGTCTGATGATCGCCGCCTACAAGGGCCACACGGACGTAGTGAAGTTCCTGCTGGAGCAGGGGGCGGACCCCAACGCCAAGGCCCACTGCGGGGCCACCGCCCTGCACTTTGCAGCTGAGGCGGGTCATCTGGACATCGTCAAGGAGCTGGTGCGTTGCCAGGCAGCTATGGTGGTGAACGGACATGGCATGACTCCCCTGAAGGTGGCGGCCGAGAGCTGCAAAGCCGACGTGGTGGAGCTGCTGCTGACATACGCCGACATCGACATCCACGACCACATCGAGGCCCTGGAGCTGCTGGGGGCCTCATTCGCCAACGACCGAGAGAACTACGACATCCAGAAGGCGTACGAGTTCATGTACATGGCCATGTTGGAGCGCTACAGCAACCCTGAGAATATCATCGCCAAGGAGCTGCTGCCGCCCATCGAGGCCTACGGGGGGCGCTGCGAGTGTCGGACCCTTGTGGAGCTGGAGACCATTTGTATGGACCGGGACGCTATGCACATGGAGGGGCTGATGATACGGGAGCGAATCCTGGGCTCGGACAATATCGACTTGTCACACCCCATCATCTACCGCGGCGCCGTCTACGCCGATAACATGGAGTTTGAACAGTGCATCAAACTGTGGCTGCACGCACTGCGTCTGCGTCAGAAAGGAAACAGAAACACACACAAAGACCTGCTGCGTTTCGCCCAGGTGTTCTCCCAGATGGTCCACCTGAAGGAGCAGGTCCTGGCCTCGGCTGTGGAACAGGTGCTGAGCTGCAGCGTGGTCGAAATTCAGAGAAGCATGTCTCGAGTCGACACGGCGGCCGAGTCCGAGCTGCCGCAGGCCATGGACAACTACGAGTCGAACGTTTTTACTTTTCTGTACCTGGCCTGCATCTCCACCAAGACCACCTGCGGCGACGAGGAGCGTGCACGCATCAACAAGCACATCTACAACCTGATCCAGCTGGACCCGCGCTCCCGTGAAGGCGCCTCCCTGCTTCATCTCGCCATCAGCTCCAGCACACCTGTCGACGACTTCCACACCAACGACGTCTGCAGCTTCCCGAGCGCGCAGGTCACCAAGCTGCTTCTGGACTGCGGCGCACAGGTCAACGCCGTCGACAACGAGGGAAACACCCCGCTGCACGTCATCGTCCAGTACAACCGGCCAATCAGCGACTTCCTCACACTGCACGCCATCATTATCAACTTGGTGGAGGCCGGCGCCCACACGGACATGACCAACAAGCAGAAGAAGACGCCGCTGGATAAGAGCACCACGGGTGTGTCGGAGATCCTGCTGAAGACGCAGATGAAGATGAGCCTGAAGTGCCTGGCAGCGCGCGCCGTTCGCCAGCACCAGATCACCTACAGGAACCAGATCCCCAAAACGCTCGAGGAGTTTGTGGAGTTCCACTGAAACGGACCGGAGAGGACAGAAACTTTTAAAATAAATTCTTATAATTTTCTAACCAATCAGTGCTGAGGGGGACATTCAGTACTTACAGCTTTTTATAAAAAAAGTGGGCGTTTGTTTTTTTTATTTAATTATTAACCGCTGAGAAGCAGCCACCACAGACGGGGATCTGTCTGTGTCTCTGCAGCGCAGCCACTGCAAGACGCCAGGAGTGACATCATCGCCGCGCTGCTTCTTGATTTTGCCTTATCTTCTCGCCGAAGAGCCGCCATGTTGCTGTGATTCCACAGACTGAGTGAACGAGTGAGTGTGACGCAGAGACGAGGAGAGAGAGCTACAGGCGGAGAAAATGAACGAATGAATGTACGAATGAGACACCAACAGACAAAACCGACCTCGCCGGCGTTCATCTCATCTCAGACCGTAGGACGAGGTTTATTTTACTGTAACTACGACGACGACAACAACAGAGCTGACAGAGCGATGACACATGATCTGACCGCTTATGATCAGGCTTTAAATTCATTTTAAGGGTTTTTTGTGCAGACGATATTTCTCTTGCCGCTTTTCTCTAAAAACTGAACAACACGGCCGACGGAGTGCAGACCACCCCCAGAAAAAAATCGTTTTACTCGCGACGAGGGGGATTTATTGATTTCAGCTCTTAGTTTTAATAAGGGGGAAATATTTGTGTATAAAGCAACGTTTAGGTTTGAGCCTCATTGAAGGTTTTCTTAATCCTGTTGGAGGAAGAAGTGAATGTTTAATAAAACATGAAGTGGCGCCGTTTGATGCTGTGTGCGGAGTAAAGTCGGGCTGTCTGCACAGGCTCGGCCATGTAGTGTCCTTTCATGCTGTTGTTTTTTTGTTCTTTTAACTCCTGAGAGGCTCGTTCATGAATTTTTGGTTTTTTTAAGTTTTATCTTTTATCTTAAGACAAAAGTACAGAAACCCAGAGAATTCCAGCAGAGATAGAGAGATACCCTCGTTTTTAGTAAATTATCAGATTTTTTTATATTTAAGAATAAAAGATGCGGACGGACAGACGAGGACCACGTTATGAAGAATAACCTCAGAAATGTTTTCATACTTTTAACGCTCTTTTCGTTCGATTAGCACCGACATCAATCTCAGAATTTAGAAGTCTGAATTGTTACCCAAATATTGTTAATTTTTAAATCATGTTTAACCTCTTAGCACCGTGTCCACCTGGTGTTTGTTTTCAGTGAGGAGAGAGAGATCGCAGAATCAGGCTGCCAACCGGAGAAAAGCCCAGCGTCTTTTTTTTAGTGTGCTCCACCTTTTTGTGCGGCTGCTCCGAGCGCTCAAGTTGAAAAATTGAAACTTTTCAGAAAGGCGCTGTTGACATCACTGGTGCTCTTTTACAAACATTTGATATTCCCCGTAGTTTGTCTCCTACAGATCGTGTCTTATACCCTTGTCCTCCTCGCTCTGTGTCTGATTGGGAAATAAACCATCTCAAATATAAAACATTCAGTAAAAGGAACGGAGCAGTGTCAGTCATACAGCAGACCTTGTCAACTGTTGTCCTGGTGACAGGACAGACGTGCAGTGCTTTTCTTCTCAGTGCACAAACGCTTCGTATCAGAGCATACAGCCTGAAACAAAAAACCACTAGGTGGACACGGGGCCTTGATTAGAGTCTGACCGATCAATCGGCCGATCAATCAGAATATTCTCATGTAGCAAAATCAACGACTTTTCTGACTTTATTCTCAAAAAATGTAACTTCTTCTTGCGACTGATTCTGCATATTTTCCCCCGATAAATTAATTGAAAATGGGAGTTTGACCCTCGTCTGAGTGTACGTCAGATTGTTTCACTGCTTCAGCTTCAGGTTTTAAGTCTGGACAAAATAAAACATGAAATGTTAAAGGTTCAGTGTTTCTGTCCTGCAGCCAAAGGATCCTCGAGCCCATCGCAGATTTGATTTTAAATCATCTTCTGTCCTTCCGTTTATCCGCCCGTCTGCTCGCTGACAATCTGTTCAGCACACAGAGACTCTGGTGAAGCCTTCAGTTTTGAGTTTGAAGGGTTAGGAGTTCCTCTGAGGGCTCATTAATTCGCACGTAAACAACAAAACAAAGCTGTCTGTTCACCTCAACCTTTTCTAACCCCGAGGAAACCTGCAGGGAGGAGGTGAGCTTCATTATCTCCTCGCCGAGCAGACGGCCTCGTCTCAGGAGCACGAGGCGGTTTGTGTGTGTTCGTGTTTCTAACAAAGACTCGTCAGTCTCTTTAAGTTATTTCATCCATCGACGGTAGAGACTCTCGTCTCTCACCGTCTCTCGTCCTCACAGCACAAAATGGTCGACCTGAACGCTCGTCAATGATTTTGAAGAACAAGTCCGCAGCTTCCCACAACTCGATGTGACACTTCAGTAGATATGGCTTTGTTTGGAAACTGTCTCAAACTGCAGAGTTATAAATCAGAGAAAAGATTCAAACCGATCACATCACTGAAGTCTTTTCTTGTTTTTGTGGCTTTTCTTTTGTCATGAAAATTGTTGCCAAATGATTAAATCTCAAAGAGTCTGTCGTTAAAGTTCTGATTCCAGCGTCTTTTCTCTGTTTCACAACATTTAAGATTGAAAGATGAAATTGATTATTTTCCTCCATTCTTCTCCTGTTGAAGTGTTTTTACTGCAAAGACAGTTTGATAACATCTCGACACGATTGCCAGGTTGGTTAAAAATTTAGTAAACTACAGAGACCTGAAAAATAACGCTTGCCCTGAAGATGAAATTAGCTGTGTTTGACCACGACCCCTCTGGAAGGGCTTGGGTGTCTCGGCCTTTCTCGCTCCATGTCCTATTGTTTACGGTGAGAAGGCAGACTCAGAGGGCAGAACAAACACCTAGCTGTGGGAGTGTCACCCACCTGGGGGAAGGGTTACTGCCCTTTGTGATGTCATGAAGGGAAAATCTCCTTTTTGAGCACACATTTTCTGAAAAGTGGAGCAGGCAAAAGATGCAGAGGATGGACTTTTCTCATCATTGGGGGGTTTGTTAGAGAAACATGGAGAAGTGGATTATGTATATGTGACCTTTAATCTCTCATCTCCAGTGACCCACTGTTAAAAATTCATCAAAAATAATTATTTCCCTAAATCAGGTTGTTCAAAAGGTACATAGATCTGGATCCTCCTGATCCAAGCAGAGGGCTGATTCAGACGGATTACAGGGAACATTTTAATAGAATGATTAAATAGCTGAAACAACAACAAGATAGTTGAATTAGAAGGATGTTTTCATTCAGATGCCACTTTTACATTTCACGCTTTATTCCTTTATTAACACAAGAAGCGAACATTTAAAACACCCGACAGCATCACACATCAGTACAGACTGTAAAAACTACAGCTTCATGTCAAACTGTAATGTCACAGTCCTTCATACATCAAACATTAGTGTATTTACAAAAAGTTCAAGTTTGTCTTTATACAACAAAAGTGCGTCAGATATAAATTTCAAAATAATATACAGGAAGCGTCCATAAGATGCATTTACAGTTTACATTAGTATAAAAAAGAATGAAATCAGCCATCGTAGGTAGTCATGTGTTGTGTCGGCTATTTCTATGACATTCTTTTAATCTCAGTTGGTTTTGATTTTCATATTTTTTTATGTGAATTAAACATTTTATCAAACTCGTTCCTATCAGAAGACTGAGCGTCAGAACTCCGGGTTTGTACTCAGACATAATTTCTTAGTTGTTGTCTTTAAATGTTTTCATAAAACATCTTTACAGCCGAACCGAGCGGACAGGAGGCTGCATTCAGATCCTTTTCAGGTTAACAACGGTTTTAGGGGTGGGGCATCAGGATCCCTGAGTGACGATGAAGGCTTGTGATGCATTCAGGTGATTTTCATCAATTCGTAAAGTCCAACGTGTTGGCAAATGAGGCTCCCAGTCCTCTGGTCCAAACAAATCCAGAGCATTCAGGACCAGACTCTAAAGTTAGAAGGAGGACATACTGGCTGCTGCATTGTTGTCAGGGAAGCCAGCACTTCAACATAGCATGTTTCCTTAATGTCTGATCATATAGTAAGCTCACTTTATCATTTCACTCACTACACATTTTACTGATTGGACTTGTAAGATTTGAAGTTTGAAATTTTGACCTGAATCCAAACTTTATTCTATAAATAAATTCTAATTCTGCTTTTTATTTTGACCGTTTGCACTTATTATTTTTTTCATCCCCCAAAGTCATACTTCTGACTTCCTCAACTTTCTTTCTTCCTTTTCATTATTTTAATCTGTAAACAGATCTCTGAGTTTAAAGTCACATCTCACATATGTGAGATATCCTCCGTCATTAAACTTTTACCAGCTCAAAGCGTCTGATTTTTGTCTGCCTTGAGTCATTTGAACCTCTCAGTGGTGTTAAACTCCAAACACCTGTGGGGATCGAACCCATTCAGGTGCAGGAGTCGACTTTAAAAGTTGACAAGAATCGACCGATGCAGCATCATCGTCGCCTGCACGTTATAGCTCCTCTGCTGCCTTCCCATTGGCTACCGGCTGCAACTCCTCTTCCTGTCTCCTCCGTCTGTTGAAGAAGCCGAGCTGAGGAGGAAGCAGAGATTACTTTTTTATTTTATATTTAACCTTTATTTAACCAGATAAATAACCCATTGAGATCAGGATCTTGGTGACCTGGCCAAGAAGGCAGCAGCACACATCGTGTGTGTGTGTGTGTGTGTTGTGTGTGTGTGTGTGTGTGTGTGGTGTGTGTGTGGTGGTGTGTGTGTGTGTGTGTGTGGTGTGTGTGTGTGTGTGTGGTGTGTGTGTGTGTGTGTGTGTGTGTGTGTTGTGTGTGTGTGTGTGTGTGTTTTATTTTATATTTAACCTTTATTTAACCAGATAAATAACCCATTGAGATCAGGATCTTGGTGACCTGGCCAAGAAGGCAGCAGCACACATCGTGTGTGTGTGTGTGTGTGTGTGTGTGTGTGGTGTGTGTGTGTGTGTGTGTGTGTGTGTGTGTGTGTGTGTGTGTGGTGTGTGTGTGTGTGTGTGTGTGTGTGTGTGTGTGTGTGTGTGTGTGTGTGTGTGTGTGTGTGGTGTGTGTGTGTGTGTGTGTGTGTGTGTGTGTGTGTGTGTGTGTGTACCTTCCACAGGGCCAGCACCTGTAAAGCCAGGAGCAGCAGGCCTCCCAGTGAGCTCCCCAGTATAATCCAAAAAGGGATGCTGTGATCTTCCTCCTTCCTGAGCTCCAGGATTATCTGCACACAGAAAACATTCACATCATCCACACACTGAATCTAATCTGTTCCCCTCTGACCTCCTGACGGCTCCACGCCTCTAACATGATGGAATAAATTAAATGTCCAGGTGGGAAATAATCCGGTAAACAGCGGAGGATTAATCCACTTTATCGACCAAACAGAGCTAATTATTTTCTTAACATAATCATCACATTAAACGTTAAATCATGACGTGTCAACTCACTGGAGGTTAAGGGTTAAAGGGTGTAAAATTATAAAGGGGTCTTCTCAGGAATATGAGACAGGCTCATCTCCACAACCCCTGCTGATCAACTTTTACCGGGCCACCATCGAAAGTGTCCTGGTCTACTGCTGCACTGTGTGGTTCACAGCTGATCAGCAGAGGACAGGAGGGACAACAGCGGGTGTTGAGGGCAGGAGAGTGGGTGATTGGGACTAGACTACCAGCCCTCAGCGATGTATACACCGGCCAGGCAAAAAAAGGACAAACAGCTGTATCATAAAATAAACCAACCCACACTGGACACTGGACACTGGACACTGGACACTGGCTCTTCTCAGACTGAGAAACAGTTTCTTTCCAAAGGCAGTACAATTCATCCAACCACCCACCTACCCACCCCCCAGCCCTAAGTGTGCTTTATAAATAAATGTGACTTGACTTGACTTGACTAAGAAAGACATGTTTCCTTATGTCTGATGAAATAGTAAGGGCCTGTTTGACTGGATGTAATGACACAAAGCCAACAGCAGATGGCAGCACAGTTACACATCTGCTCAAGCTTAAAACTGTTACTTTGGTTAGAAGAAATAGAGCAAAAAGAAAACACCAGTATCCTAAAAACTACCTGCTCAACATCTGTAAAATACTCACCTGTATGCTGCCATGAAGTATGCATGTAGAAATATGTATCTGTGGACATTGGTGTGCACTGAAATCCATTTCTGTGAAATTGTTTATTTTTCCCTCCTCCTCTGCAAACGGCCTGCTGTTGCTGAATATTTTGATTCTGTGGAATTGTTCCATCTTCTGTATAACTTATCTTATATCATCTTCTTAGGTTATGCTTTGGTTGAAATTTTAGTGAGTCAATTATTTTAAAAAGACAAAAAAAAGCAGATTGATTTGGATGATCTTGCTTGATTATGAGTGTATTTCCTTGTTAGTTTGAGTGCATGTTGTATAAAGAGTTACCTGTCTGACAGGTCGGTCCTCCTGGAGAAACATGGGACTGGAAGCTTCCAGCTGGATGGACGCTGCAGTCAGTAACTCCAAGGACCGGAAGCTTACCTGAAACAGGTCGACAGTGAAACATTCACCCGTCTAATACTTTGAAAAGCACAACAATAGATTATAGAAGAAAGAAAACACAAGGCAGACTTCCTTCATCCTTCACTAAGGGGACGTTTAAGGCCCTGACACACAAAGGAGATCGCTCACTGTCAGCCCTAGGTGGGCCGGCGGTGAGCGATTGGTGTGTCAGAGCGTTTACATGTTTAGCAGCTCAGAAGTCAGATTAAAGAAAGAAAGAGAGAGATCAAGTGATTAAAAACAAGAGAACTGAACAAAGACAAAACAGTCAGAACTTTGTTCAGATTATTGCACAGAAGAATTGCATGCACAATTTCAGTAGATGCATGGTGATTATTTTCCTATGATTACATTACAATGCGTGCAGAAAAAGTTAGAGTTTAGAAAAATGTAGCCGAAGAATAAACCAGAGTTAAACAGAATAATTGTGAGGGTGAGGATTAAAAAATAAAAATACAGATAAATGTCTCTTTAATTTGAACTATAGAAGTTTAGATTCATGTGAGATTCTCTTTATTTTATTCAGGCTCACCGCGAGCAGAGCAGGAAGTTTAAGTTTTCCTCGGAGTGTTACTTTCATCTCTCTGGACGCCGGCAGGTTCAGTCTGCACTGCACCGCCACGCTCACGCTGTTACTGTGGTTCTGCACAAAGACACAAAGAAGAAAATAAACACAAAATCGGAGTCCTAGCTTCTGTAGTTTGTTAGTGTATTTTGTTCCATGCCTGGTGTTTTGTTTTTCTAGCTAACGCAGTATTGTTGCTAACTTCAATAATCATGCTACCGTCACTAATCAAACAAATATCGCTTGACTTTAAGTTCTTCATCTGCAAAACTGGAAGAATTTTCTGATCTTCCTTTTCATGTGCGCTCCCGCACCACTCGTCTGACTCACATGGTGTTTGCTCGAGTCCATGGAGGAGGAAAACAAAAAAAATGGCATACCGATCAAAATCAAGACTTCCTTTTTTGGCACGACAGCTCGTCTACCTGTCATTAAGCAGCAGGTACTGTTAATATGATTAGCTGGGCTGGCTAAGCAACAGCTGCAACGCTGAGATTGATTGACAGATGAAGACATAAATCAGTGTTGAACTTTGACTTTCTTACCAGCTGTGACAGAGGAGACAAATCCTCAGCTGTAACCCGACTGCTTGTTCTCTGTTGAGGCAGTATGCAGTGAGACCCAGCTACCTGCTGAGAGGAAGAAGAGGAGGGAGGGTTTGAAATAGGAAAGTGACATAGGGTGAGGGTTAGGGTTAATTTCTAAAGATGCATATCTTTGTCACAGGAGACATGAAACACAAAAGTTCCCTCCAGGTACTCCAGCTTCCTCTCACAGTCCATAGTTATCCTCGTTAGTTAAATGGTGACTGGTTGTCTGTCTCTATATGTCAGCCTTATGATTGACTGGCAACCAGTCCAGGGTGTAACCTCACCCAATGACAGCTGGGATCACCAACCCCGAATGGGTTAAGCGGTATAAACAATGGAAGGATGGATTTCTCTGTTTACCTGCTCGATGGTGTAGTCTGTGATGTTCACCAGCTGGTTCCCCGATCCTGTCACAGCCCAGATGTCAGCTCTGAACAGGATATCCTGCACTGAGAAGATGCCCAAGTTCTGGATCTGCATGCAGATGAAAAAGATGGAAACGTAAAAAAAAACTGTCTTTTATTGTTAACTAGAAATGTGTTAAAATATGTCAGAGGAAAAGCAAGTTCAAAGTCACCACATAACTGCCAACGCTTTGAGTTTGGCCAGATTGATTTTAAACGTCATTGCACTCCAGTGCTACTTGCAACATGAGCAGCAGTCTGTACTTTTGTTTTTTCTGTCTTAAGAAAGAAGAACTGAAAAAATAATTTGAAACGGTTATCACAAGGCTTTTTTTACATAGCTTTCGTGCTCTTTCCCGATAAGAATCACCTTGTGCCAAAACGAGATAACAGATCAGTCAAACCTGACAAGCAACTAAATCTTAATTTGCAAAGCAGAAAGAGGCGGAACAACACTGTCACGACAGTTTTGACATCACATTCCTCATCTCAAACGTACTGAGCCACATCATACGTGCAGAGGAGTCTCCATTTCTTTCCAAAGACAACGTTAACTGAATTGAACCTTTTGCAACAACACAGTAGAGACTGCCAGTCACTGGTGAGTACAGCTTTTAAATTTGACCATTTCACAACTTACACACACTAACACTAAACGTGAATAGTAAAGATGGTGCCTGTATCTGAAATGTATTTCATGGGTATGATGTGTGTAATTTGTGGCTGGGCAGGCATCAAGAACATTTCACTATGCACTGTGTAGTTGTGTTACCAATAAATGGTAATCAAATGGAAATGTATTTCATGTAAATGTAACTTGATCTGAAAGGCAACTGGACCTAGTTGAAGTTCTTAGAGATGTTTTTCAAAGGGAAGGCTTCTTCATTTCTTATCAGTTTTAGAGGAAAAAGGATGGACTGAAGTTTAAACTTTGTTAGAGCGCAGTTGGGTGCAGAAGCATAAACAACTGTCAGAGCCTTTTACTTTTTAACTTGCCGTTGCAGGGAGGTCACCAGGGGGGCTCGACTGGGGGCTTGTGAGTATCCCCACACCGGTTTGGTTCCTCTCACCTTGAGATCAGCCCCTCTCCAGGACTTGTGGATGGGCATGAGCCTAACTATTTCTAGTTGGTTACGCTCCACCACCTGCGCCAGCTCTTGTGTCAAAGGGGTTGTTTACTTTCCCAAATGTATAAGCCTCTGCATTCTTCATTGCATTTTATTTTCTAAACTACATTACTCTGTTTTACTAGGATCTACTGGGATTTTGTCCTTTGGCGGACCAGTGTCTGTCTGTTTGTGTTGGGTGGTTTGCAATGGACCAAACTAACTACTCTAACACAAAGCCCTTAGTGTCTACCACAACCCTACTAGCATTGCCACTACCAACAGACTGAGGCTACAATTCTGTGTCATTTGTTGTTGTCTTCTTCTCCGATTGAAGTTTGAGCTCAAGCGTCGAATTTACCATGACTGAGAATCTCTGTTGTTACTGTTTTTCTTAGAGGTCTTGTTTAAGGCCCAGGTATGGTTGCCACCCACCTTAATTGCCTCCATGACCCTGAAAGCTTATATTCAAAAGGTCCATCCACCAGTTTAGAATATTTCGATGAAGCCGTTCGAATGGGAGATGAAACATAGACCTTCAACTAAGTCCAGTTGCCTTTTGGGACAGGCTTAAAGAATTTCCTTGTGGATTTAAAATAACTTGTTATTCAAATTGACATTCCTAATGACATATCTATATTGTTTATTTCAGAGATCTCAGTGTAGACATGTCTGCTGCCAGCTGTGTGCTGACTGAAGCTCAGTTCCTGTGCTCCATCTGTCTGGATGTGTTCACTGATCCAGTCACCATACCATGTGGACATAACTTCTGTAAAACCTGCATCACTGAACACTGGAATTCGAGTAATAGGTGTCCCAACTGTCAAGAGGTCTTCTATGGAAGACCTGACATGAAGGTCAATACTTTCATTTGCGAGATGGCTGAACAGTTCAGACAGTCAGCTGAACAGAGAACCAGCAGCAACAGCAGCTTAAAACTACATATTGCCAAACCAGGAGAAGTTCCCTGTGACGTCTGCACTGGAGCCAAACTGAAGGCCCGGAAGTCCTGCCTGGTATGTCTGGTTTCTTACTGTGAGACTCACCTGAAGTCTCATCTGACAATGTCAGTTCTTAAAAGACATCAGCTGATTGACCCCGTGAAGAACCTGGAGGATAGGATGTGTACGAAACATGACAAACTGCTGGAGCTGTTCTGTAAGAACGACCAGACGTTCGTCTGCTTGCTCTGTTCTGTTTCAGACCACAGGACACATAATGTTGTTCCTCTAAAAGAAGAATATGAAGAAAAGAAGCCAGAGCTGGGGAAGACAGAGGCTGAAATTCAGCAAATGATCGAGGAGAGAACACTGAAGATACAGGATATCAAAAGCAGAGTGGTGCTCAGTCAGGAGGATTCAGACAGAGAGATTGCAGAAGGTGTTCAGGTCTTTTTGGCTCTGATGGAATCTGTTGAAAGTAGCCTAAACAAGCTCATTGACACGGTCAAAAGGAAGCAGAAAGAGACGGAGATAGCAGCTGAAGGCTTCATCAAAGACCTGGAACAGGAAATCTCCAAGCTGAAAAAGAGAAGTGTTGAGTTGGAGTAGCTCTCATGTTCTGAGGACCAACTCCATGTCCTACAAAGCTTCCCATCTTTGAATACTATTCCACCCACAAAGGACTGGATAGGAGTCAATGTCCTGCCACCTTTTTATGATGGGACTATTGGGAGAGTGGTGGGGCAACTGGAGGAGACACTCAGTAGACATATGAAGAAGGTGTTTGAGGCTGAGATGAAGAGAATCAAGAATTATGCAGTGGATTTGACTCTTAATCCAGATACAGCACACCCCAACCTCATCCTGTCTGATGATTGGAAACAAGTCTACTGTAGTAATGTGAAGAAGAATCTCTCAGACAGTCCAGAGAGATTTGCCACTTGTCCCTGTGTCCTATCAAAAGAAGGATTCTCTTCGGGCAGATTTTACTTCGAGGTACAGGTCAGAGGGAAAACTGACTGGGATTTAGGAGTGGCCAGAGAGTCAATCAATAGGAAGGGGAAAATTACACTGAATCCTCACAATGGTTACTGGACGATATGTTTGAAAAATGAAAGCAAGCTCTACGCTCTTGCTGGCCCTCCAGTCCGACTCTCCCTGAAGTCACAGCTTGAGAATGTGGGAGTGTTTGTGGACTATGAGGAAGGTGTGGTCTCCTTTTATGATGCTGATGCTACAGCTCCTATTTACTTTTTTACTGGCTGTTCATTCACTGAGAAACTCTACCCATACTTTAGTCCTGATGTTAATCATAGTGGTAAAAACTCAGCCCCTCTGATCGTCTCTCATTTCAATCACACACAGTAGAATATTTGGATTTCTACAGAAAGATTGACTATTACTTCAAGGTCACATATTATACTCCTTTCCAACCAGTGTAAATAAGTCTCAGAGCTCCTGTGAAGTTACTTGTTCTAAATTCACTCTGATCCTGTATTAGATCATGTCTATAAACCCCTATATTTCAGCCCTGCTCAGAACAGGCTGTTTCTGTGTCTGTACCTTTAAGTGTAAATGAGCTGTGTCTGACCACACCCCCTCTCTGGAAGGACTTTTCGGGCTTTTCAGGCTTTCTTGTTCCATATCCTATTGTTTACCGTGAGAAGGCAGACTCAGAGGGCAGAACAAACACCTAGCTGTGGGAGTGTCACCCACCTGGGGGAGGGGTTACTGCCCTTTGTGATGTCATGAAGGGAAAATCTCCAAATGGCCTGTAATTGATGATTGAATGTTCATTTATTCAGGTTTTACGGGTATAGATTGTTTCATTTTCTGATTTTGTGTTTTTGGATTTTATATTTCTTTGTGACAGAATTGCCTAATTACCACTAATCACAATTGTAACTACAATGGTATATTTTATGTAATGTATCCTTGGTGTAGTCATGACTGTATTACCGGCCTCAAGATTTATTGATTATTAAGGTGTAAGAAGTATATGCACTTATCATAAATGTGTGGTTGTCTTATAAGTTGCTGTATGTTTTACTACTTTTGGTACCTGTCCTTTTGTTTTAAATAAAATAGTACAAAGTAATTTTTTTGTTGCTAGAATAAGTTTTTATATGTTGGAGTTTGTTTCACATGGTATCATTTTGTTTAAAGAAGGTATTTCCTGTAACTGTTCTGGACTTGTGCAACAAAAAGATTCAGTTTTTAATACTCACATAATAAATGAGGTTGAAGGTGGAAGAGCTGCTGTCTTGTTGGTCCCTCGATGAAGACGATCCGTCAGCTCTGATTTCAAATCGAGGAGGGTTTGGATCTCTGAACAGGATACGAGAGGAGAAGAAGAGTTTTTTAATGACATATACATTTCAGTCTCAGTAGTGCTATTTTTAAAGTGTTGTCCCCCCCAAAAAAGTATATGAATCCCAGTTGGTTTTAGGCTTTAAATCACGTTTAATGAAGGGCACACATCATTTAAATGTAAATCTATAACATTAGTGATATTGGATGTGCAATCAGTTTATTCTCCTTGTATAGATCAGATTTCAACTACATATGGGTCCACAACAGGGCTGTCTCTTTTCACATTCACATGCATTGTAACCTCAATAGAACAGGATATCACACATCCACTGAACAACCACCTTATCCCACTTCCCTCAGGACGGAGGTACAGAGCATAGAGCTGCAGAAGGGCTCGTCCTGGGAAAAGCCTGATCCCTGCTGTTAAAGCGGCCCTAAACAAAAGGCCTCGTTGAACAGACCAGAGTGGGAACTCTTGATTGTTGTTTAACTCTGTTTGTATTATACTCAGTGTTTTGCGTATGTACTGTTCTTTGTTGGAAATTGTCTGTTTGGACAGAAACGGTGTTGTGAAAAGGAATTTCCCCATGGGGACAATAAAGTCTAAACTCTAAAGTCTAACATTCAAAGTTGTGTTTGAATGTGATGTGAAGGTTCATATCCAATCTTTAATGCTGCCAATTATCTAAAAAAGTAAAAGACTGTGTTACGTTCCCAACAACAGTTTAATGTAGTTTTCTTTATGATTCAGCAGAGGGCACTATAAGTTATTAATAAAAAAGAGCTTGTCCTTTTGCACACCATAAGAAAAAATAATGGTGTTTATTCTGCTATGAAAATGGGGGATCTGATTATTCATACACAAATCCATCACAGGTCTTAGTGATTTAAAAATGTTTAAACAGAATAACATAAGCTGGAAATTGGTAGCTGATAATTTGGAACATTTTTATTTTTTCAGATGAGTACTACTGGAGTTGATATACTTAAACCTATTCTCGCTTAATTTACATGATGAGTTTACCAGAGAGATTCATGTAAACAAAAACATAATAATGTTATGACAAGCTTTTTTAATGTCTCACCTGGTGAAGAGGAGGTCAGTTTGGTACTTTAGAGGGAGGAAGATGTCATTGATGTTGTTGTCCGGGTAACGCTCTTCTCCTTCACTGAGTAAAAAACGTTTAAAAAAAAGACATACAGACTCGTGAGGATGCCATAAAGACAAAAAATTTCATTGTCCTCATATGAACCTAAATCAAGAATGAGTGTGTGTCCCCCAAAAGATAACTGAGTCCTCAAACAGTAACCATGTGATCATATAGTTATCTACACTATGGGATTTGATGAAGTACAGAAAGAGACATATTAATACTTCTATACTCATAGGGCACCCTAACCATCACCCTAAAACAAATGGTCCTCACATGAACCAAAATCAAGAATGAGTGTGCGCACCGAAAAAGTAGCTGAGACCTCAATCATGTAGTAATCTCCACAATGTCATCTAAAAGAGTTCAGATATAGACTTAATTCATAGATCTATACTACCCAAACCTTCGCCCAATCATTTCTCACATTCACTAACTGTCTCACCTGCTGGTTGCCATGACGACTCGTAAGTGATCCAGGAACACAGAATGGCTGAACTCAAACTCAAGACGGAAAGATACCTGGAGAGAGAGGGTTTCAGGTAGTATTATGCTTTTTTTTCAACAATTTCGAAAAGCGAAATGTGATTTTTATCCACAATACATTTAAAACCTTAACGTAAAACTTAAATTAATAGCCAAGGCTTTAATTTACTTTTGTCAATTGAGTTACCCTGCCTTTATTTGGGACATCATTTTGTCATTTTAAAATAATCATCTCTTTTGCACGTCCTCAAAGTGTCCCCTCATCTCTGTGAGCCGACTGAAGCCGTTTCCCTTGGCTTCATCTCACCTTGTTAAAATGAAGCTAACAACAATCTACACCACAGTCTGGACCAATAAAGTGGACTTCATACAGACAGTCATCTGTAAAGTGGACCCTCAAGGGGCTTCACAGTGAAGGGCGGGCCGTGATTGTGTTTACAGGACGACCATTAGGCTAATGATGGATTAAGTCAATGGTCGTTTGTCTGTGCATATTCCCGCTCTGCTTAAACACTATCATTAGACTGACTGTATAACTGCAGTGAGATGGTGTAATAACAACTGTTTAATGCTGCTGTTATAGTTATAAAAAACTTCAGACAAATGCACACCTACCTGAGACAAGGACTTCATGAATGGAGCGCTGATGTTACAGCTCCTCTGATTGGCTGGTCTGTCCTGGGAGTAGCATTCAATCTGAATGTCTGACTGGTCCTGTACGAGAAAAAAAGAAGAGTAATTTTCCCCCTCAGATTACAAAAATATGGCATAAATCAAGGTCTTGGCTTGGTCATTGCTTGGGATTAGGAATTTGTAGAAGTCACTGAAATGTTCCAAACAATAAACCAACATGTTGCACAGCAGCTTTGAAAACTCTGATGCACTGAAACAGTCAGGCAAGCAAGATACATAATATTGGATATTTGTGATTGAAGGACAGAGCACTATCACACCTTGACTATGAGGCTAGAGAAGAGGAGGTTGGAGGAGGTGGATATCTGAATTGATGCTCCGTAGGCGTTCTCTCCCTGATTCTCCAGTTGAGCAAACACCATCACCCTCCTCCGCCCAGTCTCCACCAAGTACACCGAGTACTCTGATGCCCCCTGATGGCTGCAGGCTGACCAGGTGGCCCGCTCCCTGGAGCTGCAGAACTGCCTTCAGATGAAACACAGAGTCAGTTACCTGCTTGGTACATCATCATATTAAAACGGGTGTGCTTATAAAGACCCGTTACTCACTGAATATCCATGAGGTCAGTGTGACTGCCCAGGATGAGGTCAGGAACGCAGATGTCCTCCTGCTCACAGCCGTTCCAGTAAGGAAGCTACAGCAATGAACAAATATTTTGTATGATGAGGCAACATTAAAAAACATGACAGCAAATGTATTCAGAGCAAAAGAAGGAAATGCATTCATATGAGAAATTAGGCAGCTGCAAATCTTTAAGAGGCCACTAGGGGCTGTCTCCTGCAGGTCATCAATCCCCATAGAGTCCCATTTTAAAATGTCCAACTTTGAGTATTCATGAAAACTGTATTGGCTGAATTTGTAAGCAACAACCCCTTTGAACATTAAATTAAGGCTTAAAGTGATGTCAAATTAGGGGGCATGGCCTCTTTGAGTGAAAGGTGGGAGTTGCTAGCTGTCTGCTAGGTGTCACCTCAACTAATTCAGTCACTGAACATAACCCTCTGGGCCGTGTTTGCGCTGTTGGAGCCTTTTGGAGATTTGTTCATGTACATATCTGACAAATAAACTACAACTCCCACTGGGCATTTTCCAACCCCTCACACCTCCGCAGCTCCACTTCTTTTTCAAATGTGGTCACTACTGGCTCTCAAGGCGGCTACGTCTCTTGTTTTTCACGGTGTAGGACCCTGACATTTCTCACCTCAGCCCTCAGGATGCTCGGCCAATCAGGATCCAACACAGGCCCCTCATCTGGGCTCTGCAGACCCGTCTCCAAGACAACAGAAATGGGACGTCCATAATCTGTCGTTTCCTTTAGAGAAAACAAAGATAAAGCGACGTTTGTGTGTCTGATTCACACTAAATGGAAGTCAGATAACATGTGTGCTTCAGTTTGGTTTACTGGGTCTTATTCTGACCTGGATGGAGAAGCCGAGGCGCTGGCAGCTCTGAACTCCAGCCTGCAGAAACAGACTCCTGGGCTGCTGTCGAGCTGATTCGTCCAGAACAGCTCGAGGAGGAAAACGCCTCTCATCTAACACCAGACTGTACCACGCGGCTGGGACAGAGAGGAGGGGAGAGAGAAACAAACCAGTCTTATCCAGCTCAGTTGCAGCAGAACAACACACAGATTTTACTGGTCTTTCAGGTGATATGAAACAAAGTGATGTCACCTGGCGTGCTGATAAGTGCAAATACATCTTGTCCTGTTTCCAAATGTGGAAGTTTTAAGGGTTTTTCTGGAGAGTTGGCCAAATAAGAATAAGAATGAATAAGAGTTTCCACTGAGTATTGTTATGTGACTGTACTGAGAATTAGGTGAAAACATTTGATAACAAGAATACAAGAATCTCTATTGCATCACCTTGTCTCTTCTTGTTACTTTGCAGTCTTGTAAACGTTTTGTAAATTATCTAATAGATTGCTAAAGCTTGCAGCCTAAAACAGACTGTTATGGCTGCAGTGCAATCTCTGGAGGCAAATATTCCCATTCAAAGTTCAATATAAGAGCAATATCTAACGTTGACGCTTTGTGTTTAAAATGGGTACTTCAGTCCAAATTCAAAACATTTGCCGTCTGTTAGTTTGCCAGTTATCATGACAAACAGGTGTCGGCTGCTTCCTAATTGGTTGCTCTATGTCGCTGCTGCAGAGTCGAACTCATCTGTGCAACTGGAGCTGGGTTTTTGATTTATGAGCACACGGAGAGCTGAAGTCAGCAGCTTCAGTCCAACACAGTTCATGTGAGGAACGCCACGTCTGCACTTCAACAAATCACTATAGTAAATCTGAAAAGGAAAGGTCAGATATTCAACCTCCTGTTTCCTCTATCCGTCCATTGAAGTGTGTTTGTTTGATGCCATGTGGCGTATTGGCATGTGGACATGCATGCTCTCTCTCTGTATGTGTCTTAATTTGTGTGTGTGTATGTGTGTCTAATCCGCTCCAGATGATCGAGGGAAGATGAGGAGCTGATGGGGAGAATGAGGAGAGGAAGGTATGAAGGTATGAAGTGATGGAGGTGGGAGGAGTGACACTGTTTTAAAAAGGGTCTGGCTGCAGTTAGCATGTCAGCGAGGTTTCCATGCAGCCGGCCCACACATCTGCAGCTAATTAGCCAGAGACACGACAACAGCTTCACTGAGGAACAGACCATGACAAGACTTTCCACACACAATACGATCAGAAAACCAAACATCTGGAGGATACTGATACTCTAGCCACAAATGTCCATACAGCTGAAGGACCGGACAGATTTATGTTTAATATCCAGAAAGAGTTCAACACTTACTTCCACTTTATTGGAAGAACAACAACAACCTGCTACTGAGCAGATAAGAATTGATGCGGGTATTACAGTACTTGGGCCTTATTTTTTGCATATTTTAAAACAAACTACTTCAAAAAGTTTAGAATTGTTCCAGTGCTCACTTGCTAAGACAAATGTGCTCAATCATAGTACGTCCACTGAAGTTGTTGTTTTTGTCCCTGACAGACTCAGAAGTGTCTGACAACATTACACTACAGAGAGACCTTTTTTGTTAAAGAGGAAGATGATTTTTGGACCATAAATAGCTGCTACATCATTCTCTGCAAACACACCAGAGTCCATTGGGATAAAAACAGTAATTTAAAGGTAGAGTCTGCAGCTTTCTCCTTCAAAATAAAACACAGACTTATCCTAAAGTAAAGCTGCTCCATCATCTCTTCTGGGCCTCCATACATGTGTGGTGGTGACTGTGTCTGCAGAGACCCTGTCCTCATGTTCTGGTTTGTTTTGGTTGACTCGGAACGTTTCTGGGCGGATAGCTGGTGTGTTTCCTCCATGCGTGGAAGAGTTGTGCTTCAGCACGGTACAGTTGCTCAAGCACGAATACTCGGTCTCCGCATTCCATTATCTCGAAATCCTGGAGTGTTCTGTCTGTATCCGACCGGTGACTGTTTACATCCCCCCCTCGGCAGACGCTGCTGCAGCCTGTGAACTCATCCACAGTGTCGTGTCTCAGCTACAGACATCACACCCCCAGTCTCTTATTCTCATCTCAGGAGACTTTAACCACGCTTCCATGTCTGCCACTCTCCCAACTTTCAATCAGTATGTTGACTGCCATACCAGGGACAATAAAACTTTGGACTTACTGTATGCAAACACCGAAGGATGCATACAGATCATCACCCCTCCCCCCCCTGGGCCGCTCAGACCACAACCTGGTGAGACTGCATCCCATTTACATACCTATGGTGAAAAAACAACCCCCCACAACCAGGTATGTGAAGAAGTGGTCTAAGGAGGCCACTGAGGCCGACACCACTGACTGGGAGGTGCTGTACAGCCCACATGGGGAGGACATCGACGGTTTAACTCACTGCATCACAGATTACATAAACTTCTGTGTTGAGAACATTGTACCCACCAAAAAAATACAGTGTTTCTCCAACAACAAACCCTGGGTGACCCCTGAGCTGAAAACCCTGCTCAATGAAAAGAGAAGGGTTTTTAGATCTGGAGACAGAGAGGAGCTGAGGAGGGTGCAGAAGGAGCTCAAGATAAAAATCAAGGAGGGGAAAGCCAGCTACCGGGATAAGATGGAGGAGCATTTACAACATAAAAATGCAAGAGAAGTCTGGAGGGGCCTGAATAACATCTCAGGTCACAGCAGAAGGTGTGGGAGGGGCCCTGAAGCAGGAGACAGGGAGTGGGCAAATGAACTGAATCTGTTCTTCAATAGATCAGGTGAGAAGCCAGCTGAGGAAGATCAAGGCGAAGCAGGCCACAGGTCCCGACGGCATCAGCTCCAGACTCCTGAAGGACTGTGCAGATCAGCTCTGTGAGGTCCTTCTGCACATCTTCAACCTGAGCCTGAGACTGGAGAGGGTACCGACTCTGTGGAAGACTTCCTGCGTGGTGCCAGTCCCAAAGACACCTCACCCCAGGGAGCCTAACCACTTTAGACCTGTGGCCCTCACCTCTCACCTGATGAAGACCATGGAGAGGATCGTCCTCGACAACCTCCGCCCCCTGGTGACTTCAAATCTGGATCCTCTGCAGTTCGCCTACCAGCCGAACATCGGGGTGGATGATGCCGTCATCTACCTGCTGCAGAGATCCTGGACTCACCTGGAGAACACTGGCAGCACTGTGAGGGTCATGTTCTTTGACTTCTCCAGTGCCTTCAACACCATCCAGCCTGCACTGCTCAGGGGGAAGCTAGAGAGGGCGGGAGTGGACTGTCACCTGGCTGTATGGACAACGGACTACCTCACCAACAGACCACAGTACGTGAGGCTTCAGGACTGTGAGTCTGACATGGTGGTCTGCAGTACAGGGGCTCCGCAGGGGACAGTTCTCTCCCCTTTTGTCTTCACCCTGTACACCTCAGACTTCTGTTACAACTCTGGGAGCTGCCACCTGCAGAAGTTCTCCGGTGACACAGCCATCGTGGGGTGTGTGTCTAAGGGGAGCGAACAGGAGTACAGGCAGGTCATCATGGACTTTGTCGACTGGAGTGAGCTCAACCACCTTCAGCTCAATGCCAGCAAGACAAAGGAGATGGTGATTGACTTCCGCAGGAAGTCACCCCAGACTGCACCGGTGAACATCCAGGGCTTGGACATCAAGAGGGTGGAGACGTACAAATACCTGGGTGTTCACCTCAACAACAAACTGGACTGGTCACACAACACAAGAAGGGTCAATGTCGACTTCACCTGCTGAGGCGACTGAGGTCCTTTGGAGTGTGCAGGACTCTGCTACGGACTTTTTATGACACTGTGGTGGCGTCTGCACTTTTCTATGCAGTGGTCTGCTGGGGAGGAGGGCGCACAGAGAGAGACAGAAAGAGACTGAACAGACTGGTCAGGAGGGCCAGTTCTGTCTTGGACTGTCCTCTGGACTTTGTAGAGGAAGTGGGTGAGAGGAGGATGTTAGTGAAGCTGACATCCATCATGGACAACCCCTCTCACCCCTTACATGACACTGTGGGGGCCCTGAACAGCTCATTCAGCAGCAGACTCAGACACCCACCCTGCAAGACAGAGCGCTACCGCAGGTCGTTCATCCTATCTGCCGTTAGACTGTTTAATCAGACTCTTTAACAACATCACCACCTCATGCTACACACTGTGTGTGTTTTTTTAAGAACAAGTTACTGTGTCATTTTACATTATTGTATTTCTATTTTTTTATGTTTATTTAAATGATGTAAATATGTTTGAGCTGTTTTTAACTTCTATTTTTATTTTTAATAAGTATATTCCCGTCCCCAGTTTTCTGGAGCTGCTGTAATGCATAAATTTCCCCCACGGGGGATCAATAAAGTTTATCTTTTACCTTTAATGACTCAAAATAAGACACACAGTAAGTAAAGTAGCTGTCATGTTGTCTGTGTTATTCTCCAATGTGCATAAACATTGCTTTCGTTAAACAAACCATTTTAATGTACCAAACACAGGAGTTTCTGATCTACCTCTGCAACAGCCAGAGCTTTTAATGGACTGTAAATGAAAATGTTGCAATAATAAACCTGAACCTGATTTGGGAAGTGTGCCTGGACTGGGAGTTTACTATTTCATTACTGCTCTCATCAGCTGAATCTGAAACAACCAAGCAAAGAAGTCCAGCAGAAACCTACCAACATCCGCTCTGGTCTTTGTCCTGGTCTTTGTCATGGAGTCCAGAGTCAGGCACACGATGACAGACATGCAGGTGACCTCCTTCCCTCCTCGCCGACAGTCTTTGTTAAAGATGTTGACTTTCTCAGGTTCAAAGGTCAGCTTGGCCTGAATCCTCACCACACCACGAGACCTGGGGGAGGGCGTAACCGACAATCAGGGCCACCTTTGAGGTACATCAGCATATTTTAGATTTTATGCATATATAAGAGATAGAAGGAGACTTATTCAATCGAACAGTGTTTTAAAATGCATTCTTTCTAATTTCCAGCAGGGGGGAAAAAATAAGTCTAATTGTATAAAGGTCTCCCCCTCTGTCTGGTCTCTAAGACTCTAAATAGAAACATAATTTACTAAATGCACTTCATGCTGTGTTGAAGAAGACCTGAAACTAGAAGATTGAGACCATAAACTCGACAGGAAAATGTTTACTACTAAAAATGTTACCTTGGCGACATTAATACAGTTTATTGTTCATCATATTTACTTCACCATGTTAGCATGCTAACAAATTTGCAACGTAAAGGGCAGATGAAACTGATGGAACTGATATGTGCTCCTCGTGGGGGCGCCAAAGGAAAAGGTATTCATCTCCCAAGGGGCACAAATGTCTATTTAAAAATGATAGTACATTAAATCCGACGTTTGTTTGGATTTCACCAGCTACCTCTCAGATAGATGTTTGTCTGTGTCACTTGGTCCTTACATCTCCGAAGCAGCAACTTTGTCCTGTGGTGTGCCTCAGGGATCCATCTTGGGACCTATTTGTATTTCTCTCTCGATATGCTAGGCCATGTTAATAACAATTTTCAGGGTATATCTTATGCCGATGACATACAACTGTATAATTTTTTAGACTGATGACAAGGACACATTTTCAACTTTGCAAAACTGCCATTAATGACCAGATGGCCGACAACTTCCTCTCGTATTGTTCCTACTGTTTTGGTCAGATTCTGTAAAGCACTTTGTGACCTCGCTTTGTAAAGGTGCTATATCAAATAAACATATTATTACGATTTTTATAAGACTTAAGCCATGGTAACAGAAAATGACTTGCAACAATCAAGGCTACATATCAAGTGTGCTGGATGTGTATTTTTTTGTGTGTGGGATGGTCTAACCAGACAATGATGGCAGCCCCCTGTGCTCCCACTGCGAGGTCAACCAGCCCGTCTCCGTTGACGTCCAACACACCGTGAAGACTTTGACCGAAATACAGCAGGCCAGCAGAGAAACCAGCAGCAGACAGACGCTGCAAAGACAGAAAGAAGTCAGTGATTCATCCTCAGATATAATTCCTTCTGAACCTGATGAGCTTCACTCACCTGTCTGTACTGCGGTTGGATGGTTTTGTCCTGACCGTAAAAAACATAGACTGCCCCCTGGTGGTCGTCCTCCAGCGGTGCTCCTACCACCATCTCCCTGAACCCGTCTCCGTTCATGTCGGGTATCTGAGCCAATGCTGAACCCAGCCTGGAGTTCTGAGAACGCTCAGTAACCTCCAGGGCCCCCTGCAGGATGAAAGATGTCTGCAGAGAGATTGTTAAGATTTAGTTTCTCGATTTCTTTTCTCAAAATTCAGTAAAACTGCTTAGTGTGTCTGTTTGTTTGTACCTGGGGTGTAACAGTGTAGATGTACACCTTCCCTCTCTCCCAGCCTTGGCTGTAGAACATGGGTGCTGCCACCAGGAGGACGTCTGTCAGTCCGTCTTCATCCACGTCCATCGATAACAACTCACTGCCGAAATACGACCCGATCTGTAAAAAGACATACGCAAAAGAAGAACAATAACACAAAATATACACTTTATAGTGTGTTACATAAGGCACGTTAAGACAAACTGACGTTGAGGGAGACTGGAGCGTGGAGAAGGGGCGTCGGGTGAATGTGATGCCTGTGAGCGACAGGGAGAACTTTGAGCAACGTGGATGACAGTGAAGCTGACAACCTGGTTGAGGTATGACAAGCGAGACTTTCCCATCCAACTGATTGGACAAAGACCAATAGTCTCCAAATGTGAGTTTGCTTTGCACTCAAACAGCCGCAAAACCTTTGAGACTGTGAGCACATTTCAGAGCCACAACTGTAAACCTTTACTGTAGGAAAGAACCGTAATCAGTACTCCTATTTAACCCGAATCCTTTTTCACATGAAAATCTATTAGGGCTGTCAAACTATTAAGATTGTTAATCGCGATTAATTGCTGAATTCCAATAGTTAATCACACGTTTTCAATTCCATTATTTTGCATTATAAACTGTTTTTTGGCTTTTATTTTTAATGTTTGTCCTGTCTAAAGTTGAGAGTACTCTGGCCCTTCTGGTTGAATGAAGGGTAGGACAGGAAGTTAGGCACAGAAACAGGGGATTCGATCCCCAGCTCATGCAACCTTGGGCAAGACAGTAGCTTGTGTGAATGTGTATGAATGGATGAGTTAATACTGATGGACTCTTTACTCAGCAGCCTCTACCATCAGTGTGTGAATGTGTAGGTGTGACCCGCGGTGTAAAAGAGATCTGAGCAGTCAGAAGACTATAAATAAAATCTACATGCTCCTGTTCTGTGTGTGTGTGTGTGTGTGTGTGTGTGTGTGTGTGTGTGTGTGTGTGTGTGTGTGTGTGTGTGTGCGTGCGTGTGTGTGTGTGTGTGTGTTACCTGCTCTCCCAGCAGAGCTTGCAGGATGGTCAGGTTTCCCGTGTTTCTCAGTGTGAAGATGATGACCTTCCCGGTGTGGTTGAACCTCGGAGCTCCAGCCACGTAGATCTGAGCCCCTCCAGATGAAATGAGCGAACCAACTGAGTATCCTGAAACCAGAGAGGAATGCAAAAAACAGACCAAGTTATAGTCAGACTCCACACATTCTTACTTCTTTCGTTTGTTTTCTTAAATTTTCAAAGTCAACAGCTGTAAGATGGAGAGCTCGGGTGAACTGTGGGCAACATTTTGGGAATAAAGTGTCCTGAAACTCTGAAGAATTATCCTGGTTTATAAAAGAGGTAAAAGGGGGAACAACTGACTTCAGTAAAAGTTTTATTATTTAACTTCTCATTACCCAGATATGCTGCGTGGTTCTTCAGCTCGTCTGGAAACTCGTCCTTGTAGGAGGACTTTGGTGGAACGACCTTCCCATGTTTGGTGTCTTTCAGCACGGCACCGTTCCAGTCGTAGGCACCGACCGCCCCGAGCAGAACCCCATCCTGAGGACAAATCTTCAATTAAAAAGGGGAAAACAGGGATACAGCCAACTAAAGCTGAAAAAAATTTGATGCTCTGGTACTTATCGATACCAAGTGCTTTAAAACGTCCTGATTTGACCAGGACCATCCCATTTCCAAATTCCGTGGCCTGAGTCCCCACAAATATCTATGAAACACTAACATGTCCTGGTTTTGATCAGTTCCTGTCCTGTTTTAACAAACCACAACAATACACCATGCTTACCACACTGATTTGTCTTAATGTCAATCAATGTCGTTGTCAAGGCTACGGCTGTTTAAACCAATAGAAAAACATCATTAGTGCACCACGAGTCAAAGTTCAACACTGATTGGTCTGTTCATGTGTCAATCAATCTCGGGGGTTTCAACTGTTGATTAGGTAGCTTAGCTTAACATGCTAACAGGGCCTGCTGCTTAACGACAGGTAGGAGAGCAGTCATACTGAACAGGAAGTCAGCGTTTTTCAAAGAGCTCCAGGAGAGTTACATCTTCCTTTGAAAAGAACCAGCCAATGAATATGTTGCATTTGCACACACTCTGGTGTCTATTTTCAGTCACTCATCGTGGAAACACAGACATACAATACAATGCTGGACTAATAGTAAAACTGTTGTAACCTACTTTAGTGAAGCAAACGGTGCTGAAAACCAACTTAAACAGGTCGCCCAGGAGGACACCTTTACCGACCACGGTCATGGATCTGTGGCTCAATCACGCTGATGTCATCAGTGGATGTTCACAGTATCCTGTTTGTGCATCTGTGTGTATTTCATTCTCTGTGTGTGTAGCATCTCTCAATAACAGAGAGTAAAGTAATTTCCTCTCTTCTTAGAATTTAAATAAAAGCACAAAAATAACATCATCATAGGGCCGGGCACTCCTCCATTTCTGCGGTGTACTTTTAACGCCTTGTCCTGCCTCTTGAGACCCCTCTCTCTTAATGTTTGGGTAGTCTCCCGTTATGAGGTGAACATGTGAAGAGGCCAATCAGAGAGCTTTCAGGGCAGCCTGTCATGACATTTTCTAGATTTTCAGGAGTGGATGTGTTGAAAAGGGGGCTTCATGTTGATGCAGTGGCTAGTGCTGTCCCCTCACAGCGAGGAGGTTCCTGGTTTGAATCCCCGTCCTTCAGGAGCCTCTCTGTGTGGAGTTTGCATGTTCTCCCCATGCATGTGTAGGTTCTCTCCGTGTACTCCGGTTTCCTCCCACAGTCCAAAGACATGCTCGTTAGGTTAACTGGTGACTCTAAATTGACCGTAGGTGTGAATGTGAGTGTGTCTGGTTGTCTATCTCTATATGTCAGCCCTGTGATTGGCTGGTGACCAGTCCAGGGTGTAACCCCGCCTCTCACCCAATGACAGCTGGGATCAGATCCAGCCCCCAAGAACAGGAAAATCAATATAGATAAAGGATGGATGAGTTGAAAAGAATCTGCTAATGGTATTTTCTTCTTTATAATTTAGTAACACTGAACTCGGCCTTCAGAAGCTTCAGAATCGACTTTAGTCAAAGCGACGCTCAACCAGTGATACTCTCTAATGAACAGTCATGATATTAAAGTCACTGAAGCTTTGAGTCATGGTCTCGAGGGTCCAGTGATCCGAGGATCCCAGTGAATGAGCAAATGTTTGGCGACAGCAGAGTCACAAAGAATCCTGCCTGCTGGATCTGCTCCTGGACTGACTCTGGATCTGCAGGTTCTCTGTTAAATGTCAGAGCGCTGCTTAAGTCATCCTTCAGGTGGAAGAGGACTCTTTCTCAGATGATACTGTGTCGTCTGTTTTCCACATCGGTACTACCTCATTTCATACCTTTTAAATCTGAGACTGAAGAGCAGGAAACACTTCTCATATTTGTCCCTGTGTGTGTGATGGTGAGTGTGTGAGTGTGTGTGTGTTCCTGCGAGTGTTTTCTTGGCTGCTTCACGTTCAGGAAAACCATCTGCTCTGAGTTACTCACACACACAGTTTCCACGACAACATTTTCACTCCAGCTTGGTGGAACCCGGCCGATACGATTTCTCTCTGGATGAAAAACAACCGAAATATTTCTCGAAGCTTCTTTTTCTGCAGCTTCAGGAATCTGTCAGGATCACAATCAAACCAATATTTGATATTTGAGGACGACATGGATTCCAGTATTTGAGCGTTTCATCTGTGGACTCTGTTTCTGTTGGACTGATATTCATTATAACACAACTCGGCTTCTGTCCTCTGCTGGATTTAACTGGATCATGAAGTGCTTCATTGGAAAATAACCAAAAATGAAGCAGTCATTAATTGTCATCAATTATTTCTAGTGTGGGAAAATGTTTGGATAAAATATGTTAAATACTTCCTTATGAATTGTGCTGACAACTGTGATAAAACTATGCAAAGAAAGTCACAGATCCAACACCCTTAAAGCAAAATCAGGAGCAACGCTGAGTTAACAAGTTAGACCATCCCAAAACAGGCTTACATGACGCTTCATCCATGCCTTAGAGACAAAGGAGCTCATGTATGCATGTCTAGTAAACAACTTAAAGATCTGTTCTGTAAAAACATCTGACGGTCGCTTTAAATGCCCATGTCGCAGCAGTGTTGTTTAGAGTAGAGAAACACGAGCATCATAAAGTTATGAGTAAGCAGAATATCCAAGATCAATATGTATAACTAATTATAGACCGTTATGCATAACTCAAGTTGTGTGCAGACAAAAAGGAGGTAATACCTTCCTCCCAGGGGCGATACTCCAGTCTGTCAGGGCCCTAAGTAAATATTCATAAGGCCCCCTTCCCACCAGTGTTCATCAGCATCATGTCTGCCAGGGTCCTGACGCTTTCTCCTCTTCCTCTTTCCTCGTTCTTTTTCCCCCCACACAGATAATTCCTCTTCATTTTGCATCGCTGATTTTCATTGAAAAACTTTGGTTTACACTGCAGAAATCAATGAGATGCTTCCTAGGACATGGAGCGGGAATGCTGTCAGATGGGGCCTCTTTAGGGAGGTTTCCTGCTGTCATTGCAAAATTTGCACATTTTGAGCCACTGCTGTGGTTTTAAGTCAGTGTATGAGGGCCCTCTACTGGCCTGGGCCCCCAAGCAGTTGCCTGCCTTATCTATTGACAAGCAGCTTCTCTGCTTCCCCAATAAAAGAGCAACAGACCATTGTCATCACTGCACCACTGGTACTCAAACCTAAGTCCCCTCACCTAGCCAATCCCCCTCCACCTCCCGTCCAGGGGCAGTCCTCCTGAAATTCTCTAGAAATGTTCAGGAGTGCATGTGTGAAAACGGCTTTATGAACTGTACATGGAGATAAAAGAGAACATCAGCGACTCACTTTGACTAAATGTGAGGAGAAACCGGCCTGAGCCATCTGCAGACCAAAGCGTTGACCCTGACTGCTGGTTCCTGTAAAACAAAACACAGCTCAGACTCAGCTAACATTCATCCACAGAAACTGATAAGCTGAGTATCCCGAAGACACTACAACATCTATGGATCAACATGAGGGACAGCTTACCCTCCAGAGAGAAGATTCTCTCTCCTAAGGCGTCCACGATGTCCTTCAGCGATGACTCATCCGTCACATTGAAGAAGTGCTTCTCATCCGGGTCGCTGGCGATGAACTTGATTTCCTTGAGAAAGGCTTCAGGGTTGATACCTCTTCGGTTGTAATAACCAAGAACCTGAAAGAGATGTGGAAGATACAGTTGGACAGAGGAAGAAACAGAACAACAGAAGGCTTTGATAAAGGAGAAACATTGCCAAAGATGGAAGTCAGTTTGAGGTCGCAGGTAAGAAAGAGCTCTCAGAAGCAGACAGGGCATCAGACTGCGTTGAAAGATGGAGGGGCAGACTCACAGCGATGGCGTACATGGTGATGTTGTCCTTCTCGCTGTCAGCGACGGCCTGCAGCAGCTGTGGACTGTCGTGAGACTCTCCATCAGTGATCACGACCATCACCTTCTGAGCCCCTGGTCGCCCTCCACGCTTGTACGCCTGAGATCTGCACAGCAAGAAAACAGTGTCAGGCTGTGAGACTGAACCGGGTTGAGTACGTTGTGATGCTTTATCAGTCAAGAAGGCCGTACCGAGCTACGTTTATGCCCAGCGCCGTCCTCGTCTCCTCGCCGCCCCTCTGGTTGATGCTCCTCGCGGCCTCCACCACCTTCTCCACCGTCTGGTACTCACCCAGACTGAACTCATGGACCACCGTGGAGCCGTACTGAATCACGCCCACCTGAAACCAAAACACAACAGTTCAGACCCGGACCTGAACCCCAGCACCTGAAATTATCAATTCTACAATTCACGTTACAGACGCTTTTATCCTAAGCGACGAACATTAGAGAGTAAGAACAACACAAGCAAGGATCTTGAGAGGAGGAGACACCTTCAGGAAGTGCAAACGAACAGCTTTAAGTCTGATTGGACACACAGATGCTGACAGGAAGTGCTCACAGGTGCTGACAGGAAGGACCAGACCAGAGGAAGAGCACAACAGAGGAAGAGCACAACATCGACAGCGATTCTTGAGAGTTCTAATACGCATAAAAACCATCCTAAACATCATCATCATCATCATCATGAAGGTGGTAGGTGTTCATAAAGAGCTGGGTCTTTAGCTTTTTCTTAAAGGTGCAAAGGGACTCTGCAGATCGAATGGAGTTTAGTAGTTGGTTCCTCCACCCGGGGGCGACAGAACAGAAATGTCTATTTAGAGACTTAGGACCCATATTGTGAAGGTTGGATCAGTCGCCTTTCATTGACAGAGCTTAGTGTGCAGAAGAAGTGTAGACCTGGATCAGAGAGTCGAGGTAAAGAGGAGCCATTGTGTAAGCGAGCAGCAGAGCTTTAAACTACCAGAACGTTGCTGCAACATCGAGGTACTGATGGCTTTTTAACTGCAGCAGACAGACATTTAAACTGAGCCTCATATTAATCCATCACATATTGCTTCAAATAAATGTTCACGTTTCATAGTTTAAGATGCATAACAATAAAGCTAATGAGCTCAGTTTAACTACAACAACTATGGTTGAAATACCTCCAGAGTTACATAACCCTGAACTATGTTGTCTGAGCAGTTGATGCACCACAATGGGGGTTTAACTTCATGAAAGACAATACTCACTGCCTCTGGAGACTCCAAACTCCCACAGCAAAGTATGAAAACAAGCTATTATTGATCATTATTTCAACAGAAATATCCCAACATGTTTTGGATAGAAAGTGGTATGGCTCCAAGAACGGCATATCAATCAGTCAGCCAATAAAATCCAGTTATGATTGTACTTCATGGATGTATGGATGCCTGTAGTGAAATTTCCGTTTGTGCACGCTCAGCTGACATACTCTTGATTGGATTTTCTAAAACTGCATGTTCAGCCAGCTTATCCAGAACAAAAGTGATGTTTTTCCAGCACGTTTAAAGCACACACTAATAATAAAAACCCAGCGGGTGTTTTTGTTTTCAAACATTTAAAACTGTCAGTCAATGGTTGTATGGTCTGCTCCCAACTATAAGCATCAATAAGGGAAACAAAAGATCACAGTGAGGGAAGCATGACATGTGAGGTGAAGGTTTAACGAGAACAGGAGGTCAGCTGCTGTAAAAGGAAAGTGACAGAAACTACTACAGACATTGACCTCCGTTCCACATTGGCATTTACAGGCCTGTTTTCATGTTAACTGCTGAGAAATGTGAGTGAACTTCTACCAACCACAAACATGTTTCAGGGCAGTCGCAGAGAGCTTGTGGTGAATTTCAATATTTCCAAGTTTTTCAGCGTTTAGCCAAAGAATTCTAAATATTTCCTAAAATAAACGTAGGAGAACCACAAGACTCTTCTTCTCTAGATAAAAGCAACCCCACTGGATGTGATCTAGTTGAATATTGGTGCTGAACCGACCTGCGTCTGACCTGGGCCGATGTAGAACTTTTGCAGGATGTTGATGAGGAAGTCCTGAACCTCGTACCACGGGTAGATCGAGTTAGAACCATCCAGGACGATCACGATGTCCATGAACGTCTCACACCCTGAAACATAAGAAGTATACTGTTAGTACACGATGGATGGATGGATGGATGGATGGATGGATGGATGGATTTGTGGTTGGATTAATGGATGGATGGGTGGGTGGATGGATGGATGATGGATGTATGGATGGATGGGTGGATGGAAGTATGGATGGATGGATGGATGGATGGATGGATAGATGGATGGATGGATGTATGGATGGATGGCTGGATGGATGGGTGGATAGATGGATGAATGGATGGATGGATAGACTGGTTGATGATGGCTTTGTGGATGGATGGATTTGTGGATGGATGGATGGATGGATTTGTGGATGGATGGATGGATGGATGGATGGATGGATGGTTGGATGGCTGTATGGTTGGACAGGTGGATGGGTAAATTGGTGGATAGATGGATGATGCACTGGTTGATGGATGGATGGTTGAATGGATAGATGGAAGGATGGATGCACTGGTTGATGGATGGATGTCTGGATGGATGGATGGATGGACTGACGAATGGACGGATGAATAAATATGAATAACAGTTAAAAAGATGTGTGCGTGTTACTCTGCAGGGCGGGTGTGATGGTGTGTGACAGTCTGAAGTTCCGGCTGACTCTGGTGCAGATCCCCGTGCTGTACAGAGAACTTCCACATTCATGAGACCAGAGAGGACCGCACGTCTGAGGACACAATGAGACACACATTCATGTATATAAAATCATAATTCATTAAAGCTTAACTAAATGAACATGTTGTAGTTTCTCTGCGTGTTTCATGTTGTGTGACTCACCACGAAGCTGTCGTCTTTAGGGTTGGAGGTCAGCGTCATTCCCAGACGCATCTTTTCTTTCCTCTCTGACACGTTGTCCAGAGAAAGATTCCCTGATTTTAAAACACGTTTCACAGTTAGTCAGTACAACTACAGCATCTTAAGCATGTAGGGACATTTGTTCACCTCTCGTTCGTAAATGATGGTTCCATTTTTTAATTCTTTGATTTTGTAAGTTTATTTAATCAATCCATCCAACCATGATCTATACCGCTTTTCCCACTCAACCAATCCCAGCTGTCATTGGGCGAGAGGCGGGGTTACACCCTGGATTGTTCGCCAGCCAATCACAGGGCTGACATATAGAGACAGACAACCAGCCACACTCAAATTCACTAAGGAAATGGTTCCCAATATTTTTTAGATCCTGACATCCAAGACAGGCAGCTTTTTGGTTAACCTCTTTATTTTTTTTGGTGTTTATTATTGTGGACAGAGGGAGAGTTGGGAGGACACTGTTTCTGAAACAAACCAAAATAAAACTGATCAGAACTGAACAGTCTGGGAATGTTTGATACTTTAAACAGCTGCTGTTGGGATTTAGAGGAACCAGTATCTCGTTAAGTCAGAAAAAACTGAGCAGATTTTATTTTCTCATGTGGATGCAAAACTCTTCTGTTCTCCCAAGGAGTGTGTACATTTGATTAACTTTCACAAGTTTGTAATGTTTGAACATGAAACTGGAGCTTTCTTCTTCTGATGTGTTTAACTCATTAAGGATGATCTAACGCCCTTTTTGAGGATTTTTACAGCCTGGTGCTAATGAACGGATTAAAGATCTGAGCACTGGATGCACCCAGCGGACAGCAGCTGCATCAGAAGCATGACATACTTTTACTGTAATCACTCTTCAAACGCAGTCTGAGCAGACTCGGGTACAAACGCCCGCTGTGACTCTGACCAACCCGCCTCTTGGACTGATTCTCACCCAGCTGCAGTCTGGAGCAGTTTGCTGAGCGTCTGGTGTCCAGCGGACATCGGTACACATCCCCGGTCTGTTGCTTCCCCGTGGATTCAAAGGGAGCTCCCACCAGCAGCCTGGAAGAACACACACACACGCGCACACACACACACACACACACACACACACACACCGGTGGCTTAGACAATGCTGCAGGTCACAGTCGAGTCAGGAGTTTGTTTGCACATTAGGAACTCCTGCTTGAACTCAGATACACCACCACACATGTATGGAGGCCCAGACTGACCATTGAGCGACTTTAATTTTGTATAAGTCTATATTTTACTGTAAGGGTAAAGCTACTGACTCTATCTTTAAACGTCTGATCAGTAAGGACACTTAAAGTCATCCTTCCTCCTCAGACTGAACAGGATTCATCTGTGGTGATATTGAACTCTCCCCTCCTGCACTCGGAGGTCAGGTCTCAGTTCAGTCTGTGTTTTTGTTTTGAACACAGATCGTGCGGCGGCGTCCCGCAGCGAGCAGCTTCTGATTGTAAACCCGACTAAACAGCAGCACATGTGGACGGCAGCTCTTTCTGGGAAAGAGTCGTGAGTCACATACCAGAGGAGATGCCGTAGAAGAGTGCTAACCGTCAATCTGTTAATGCATCTCCGTCCACATCAAACGGCCGGAGAGCAGCGCTGATAAACCACATCCTGCAGCCCCGCCTCTCATTGTCTGACATCACTCCATCAGAGGAGCTGTAAAACCTCAGACCAGCCCTCTCCTGCAACTGCTTTGACGAGCTATTAGTTACCTAATTACTGATTTCCTATCATGCCTTTCAGCAGGCCTGTAAAGACACCGACCATCAGATCCTTCCTCTGAGTTCTCTCTGGCACAGATTGTCTCTGGTGGAGGCCATCAAACTATCAAAACATGCTGACGTTGTTCAGGTATTATAGGCTAAAGGATATGTATTTACATTTTGATTCATGTAAAAGGAGAAAGTTCAGTTATAGTGATGGATGTGTTTGCTGTCAGTAGATCTCTGCAGGCTTGTAAAACGTGTGGGAACAGAAAAAAAAACAGATCAGACACAAACACACACAGATCTCAGCTGGACGACCTGCAGGCCGCACACACACACACACACACACACACACACACACACACACACACACACACACACACACACGTCAGACTCTGTAAACACACACCGCCGGAGGTTTGACCTCAGAGGTCATCACAGCTCAATGGGTTTGACCTCAAAGAGACAAAACAACAACCTGGACCAGACAAACACAAACAGATCAACACATTGAGGTCTGCAGAGGTTTGGTTTAAGTTTCAACACGTTGTTCTGTGTGTGGATGTTCGTCGTCCCTCAAAGACAGACACAGGGAGGTGAGCAGAGACGTGAAGGTTTAATGGAGGCTACTGTTGAACTCTTCCTGTGACTTGTTTCCAAACTGCTGATTATCATCCTCATCTCTTCAGACTAACAGCCTCTTTCCTGAGCTTCCTGACCTCAGTCATGGAGTGGCAGCAGGATTAGTTAGCACAAGCTAACTGTACCTCTAAAGACACTTACTCCCATTCCCTCCTGTTTGTATCTTTGCTTGTGTTGCACAAACTCTCAGATGAACGTCACTCAGTCATTGGCTGCTTCTCATCGGAGAGGCTTCTTCAGTTCTGAAGATAGTAACTCTAAAGCATCATTTAGCTCAGGTTTATCTGCTCCTGCTGAAGTGCTCTCTGCAGCATGAAGCAGTAAACAGAGAGAAGGTAAACATGGGGGGTAATCGGGAGAGTGTCACCATTACGACGACCTGATGAAGACCACAAGGGTTGCTGGAGCTTTTTGACCTCTAAAAAGTGAACCTGCGAGATCCCTGAACCTTGCGAAATCTCAGCATGTGACTAAAATGTCTTTCAGAGCATGTGTGTGTCAGGCTTTAGTTTTTAAACGTTTGACAGTTTAAAAAAAAATCCTCTACCACATTTTAAAGCTCTGACAAACCATGAAGAAATAGGTTTTTTGCTTTTTGTTTTCCAGATTCCTAGAGATATGTGGAATGATTCTGGATCTTATTGGACTTGACGTTGATGAATTTATACAAACAAACTAGAGGTCACAAGTCTTTTGGAGGTCAAATATTGTAAGGAGCACAGGGGTCAGAAGTCACAGCACCCAGCTGCTTTATGGGTGAAAACATTGAAAACATCCTGAAAACAATCCAATGGGAGTCTGTCTGAGCGCATCATCAGCCAAACACCTGAAAAATGAACGCCACTCACCAGGCTGTGTAGGAAAACAAGTTGACAGAATAACAGAGTCAACACACACACACACACACACACACATAAACACAGAGCGGAGCGATGGGCTTCCCAGAGGGAGTCTGGGGAATAACAAACCGCAGCACATAGTTTCCAGATCCCCAGCTCAGCCTCGGGACGCAGGAGAAGCCGAGCTCGAGACAAATACTTTCCACTTGCTTACCTGCGACTTCAAAGGCGCACACGTTGTGTAATCCTGGAAGACTGCGAGGTATTTATCAGCGCTGAAATGTTTCCAGATTTAAAAAAAACAAAAAAGAAACACAGCGGAGGAGCAGGAATGTTGCCCGACTCACCTGCAGCCGCAGACAGACAATAAAAAGGACAACGAGCAAACAGCTGAAGGTTCTCTGCAGGACGTCTTTTAAATCTAATCTAATTATTCTTTGTTTCAGCTCCTCTGATCTTCAGAGCTCGCTGCATGCTGCCGTCAGAAGTGAGAAGGATCCCTTCATTAGACTGGACAGCATTTAAACATGAGAGGACATGAGGGTTGGTTCAGATGATCGGGGGTGAAAGGTTTCAGTAAAACATCCGGCTCTGATTTGTCGGAGTCTTTTTTGGTACATGAGAAGCCTCCTCAGAGGTCTTGTCCCAGCAGCAGAAGCCGGCCTCTCGAGTAAACGGAGCTCCCCCTACCTTCAGTGAGGTGATCAGGCACCACCCAACGTCGCTGACGCCCAGCCTCCACCATTAGATTGTGACGCCCCGTAAACCACCGCCGTCCTCATCCATACATGGCCTGCTCCAACCTCCACCTCAGTGGCGAGGAAGTGTGGACAACAGGAACAAGAGGAATACAAAGAAGAAATCCTTCCTGCATATTATCCTATCTCTCCCCCTTCCCATTTTGTTAACAATGAGTAAGGTCTTTAACCTGCTCTTTTGTAAAGCGCCTCGAGATAACACTTGTTGTATTTGTTTTGCCCTGAAACAGGTTTTCAGGTTTTCAGGACTTCAGTGAAGTCATTTTTGGATTAAGGCAAGCGACCCTTATGGTACTAAAAAGGCTAAAAGGTAAACTGTTACTTGGCAACGCACTGGCTGAGTGGAGAACGTGAAGTTTTACAAATAAAAAACTGAACTGTATGGGGGATGGGACCAGGAGTCCTTCAACCGGGATGGGACCAGGAGTCCTTCAACCGGGATAGGGATGGGGCAGGATTATTTTTTTGGTAGTGGCATGGGACCAGGAGTTCTTCAAATGGGATTGGATGGGACTGGAGTAAAAAACACTCCTGTGTCAGCCTCTACTGTGTGATCAATCGATCTTATAATCACACAACAGAGTCGTAAATTCACTTGTTACATGATCATTTAAAACATTCACCTATGCACACTACAGTATGATAGGAGACCTTAAACGGACACCAGAGGTACCTTGAAACAAACACTACAGGGTCCTTGAAAACGAAGCTAAAGGGGACCTTCATCCGATGCTTATGGGTACTCTGAGGTTGACATGAAGGTACCGTGACACAGCAGTTTATTTTTTTCTCCTTTCATAATCCAGCAGCAGAATACAAAGCTGAACATGTCTGTTGGTGGATAAGAGTCTCACGGCAGGTTGGAAATATAAAGATGAAGTACGACAGAGCAGACTGGCGGCGTGCCAAGGACAGACTGTGCAGGAACATGAGTGAGAATACAGAGTTAAGAGCTTCAGGACATACGTTCAGCTCCGTCTCATAACATATCACTTCATATAAGCGAGAACTACAAACAACCCCACAACGCTCTGCAGAAATGTTCCGATTATCAGACACATCTTTGGACAATGTTTTGTCCCAGACACACTTCTGACATCTCCAAGTGATTCAATGACACACAGCAAGGATAGCAATCGACAAGCAACTTTCCTGGAAACATTTCCACATATCAGTTTTTTAACTTTCCCAGAACGGGGAACCTTGCTTTTGACAGTGTCCAATAAATCAAGAGCGATCTTTATTTTTAAGCAGACAGACAGACAGGCGGACTATTTCTTCCGTCTTTAGTTTGAAGGTATTTGGACCGAGCGTCGTCTGAGTATTTGTTCATTCTGGCATTGAAATGGTGACAAGAATGATAACTGCTGAAGCATTTCTTAAAGTCATTTCTCAGCGGTCTGTGAGATCCTGTCTGCACAGAGATATAACATCAAGACATTTGACTCTCAGGTTGAAAATCTTTAAACTTTTCATTTCGTTGACGTCACCGGCGTTCGTTTCCAAAAGTTTGATATTCCCCTTAGTTTAGTCTCCTACAGATCGTGTCTTGTGCCCACATCCTCAATGCCATTCTGCCCGGAACAAAACGCCAGGTGGACACGGGGCCTTAAACCTTACAAAAATTCTAAATAAAGGCCTAGCAATTGTTTTATTTTTAAATTCTAAATAAAGACATAAGCAGTTAATCAAGATCACAAAATCTAATTGTTTGACTGCCTTTGTTCTAAAACATGTGGACAGACTCATTAAACTGGGTTCCGGTTCTGGTAGATTTAAAGTAAACTGGGATTCTCACCACTGGCGTCCTCTTGCCTCGTGCTGCTGGACTGTGTACCCAAACTGGTTTTCTTTAGAACCCGAGAAGATCTTGAAGTTCTTTGTGTCGAAGTTGAAGCAGAGCTGAAGATCTGAAGCACAAAGGAAGAAATCAGCTGACACTTAAAACGATTCACATCACTTATCAGATAGAGAGGAAAGATTTGTAAGTTGCGTCTTTGGTTAATGGAAGCAGGGGCGTGTCCAGAGGGGGCCGCAGTAGCAGAGATAATTACTCCCATGATTCCCCACCAGCCTTGACATCATCTTTTGTTTTTGTTTTGATTGAGAGCCCCCTGGTGGTGGATTTTACACACTGTGCATTTAAGGAACAAGAGAATAGCGACATATTCTTATCATTCTTCTTTGCTTAATTCTTTAAAAACAAGTCCAACGTTAAAATCTAAATACTTAGACAATGTTATTCTAGTTTCTTTTACTACCAGCCTGTTCCAAAACTGCTTAAATACTTGAAATCATAGTATAGAATTTAGGGATGGCACCTTGGGTGGCCAATCGGATGTCAAGGGGGGGCCCATGCCACCCATCTGGACACGCCCCTGACTGGAAGCTCTCCAGTATATTCAGCCCACTTAAACTGGGGCTCTTCCCACAGAGCAGCATGTTAAATATATTTGTCTTGAATTGCTCAACGATTTCCAACAGAGATTCATTTCTACACCCAGATGAGCAGGACATGGATTGAAATCAGACGGAGCTATGAGTGATCACACTTTCTCAGCTTTCACTGCGTCATTATTATCACATCATCCTCTACATGAGGATGACAACACACTGAAGAAGAATATTCAGTAACAAAAGGGCTTCTGAAAAAGTTAAATCACTTTTAATCTTCTGGAATCAAACTCTCCTCTAAAAGTTTCTCTGGGCTGGAAACAAGATTAATTTTCTTCCACTTTTCTTTAAAAAAGAGAAAATTAAATCACTAAATCACACACAGGTGTTCTCCATATATATTCCTTCCCAACAGGTGTGTGTCGAGCCAAGTAACAGGAACACCTTCCAGTAAAACGAGTCGAATGAATCATCAAGCGAAACAGACGAATCAAATCAACATGTTTAATTAAAGTTCCTTTCTTAAGTCGATGTAAAACAGTGGTGTACATTAAATATGTTCCTTTAATGCTTTGAAGTAGTTAACTATAAAACAAGGTTGTCATAGTAACAGTTTCATTTTTTTCATTTATATGGTTATTTTTAGAGTTTAGACATTTGTTGGTAAATCCAATTTTTACCAATCAACTTTATTTAAGTAGCCAAGACTGGGTATTTAAGTTTAACAGCAATATTACAGCCTATATAACCATCAAGTTGGTTTATAGGTAAATTAATATCTCGCAATGTGTTGGTAGGTTGGTTGATTGATTTGTCGGTTGGTCAGTTGGTGGTTGATGGTTAGTGGATATACTGTATTGGTTGGTTGGTTGGTTGGTTGAAAGTTTGGTTCGGAGATGGGTTGTTGGTTGTGTTGGGCCTCAGCCATGTGTGCTGGACAAAGGACTCAGGCCTGTATCACAGTTCTCAAGCCTGACTAGAAATATTTTGGAGGGAACTAAACAAAGGAGTCTTAGCCCAGCACCCCCCCAACAGAAACTAACAAATAGGAGTGAAAAGTCGGGTGGTGGGGGGGTGTCTGAATTCTCTATCCTCATTGGAGGAGGCCTGAGGTAAACCCACATGCAGCTCCAGTCTTTAAAAGCAATCACCTGGCATTGCTTCCTTCTCTTCAAGTGTGGTCTGCCTACACCAGAGGATACCCTCCCCACATGATGGACTCCAGCATTCAAGGAGACATACCCTTTCCTCCTCTTGGCTTACATAGGTTAAACTCCAGAGCTGAGGTTGCTCAGTTTAGATAGCTCTTCACATGCTGAATTCAAGCATCAGAGAATTCAGATGACTACTTCCATGGCATATTTTTTAGGAGTTTTGGGCGCAATCAGATGCTATCAGGTTCTAGCAAAAAGAAGAGTTTCTTTCTTTTGATTTTTCGTAAGATGTCATTGAACGCAACTGGACAGGAGCGCTGAAGGAAGCCCACTGATCCCTGAATCCACAAGGACACATAAAGAACACAGCTCCTGCAACCAGAAGACCCTAGAGCAGCGCTCTGGTCAAAGTTCCTACATCTGCCACGAAGGAAACCTGCCTGAATCTGTTGATTTAATATTCAACAGACTGACGATCTAACCAACTATGCAATGATCACCAGGAATTACCCCAAGCAAGAGCTTTGGTCTGGGCAGAAATAGTTTCAGAAATAGTTGTGTTTTTTTTATGACCACTGATAATTATCCATCATTGTTGACGAGACATCACATTCTGTTTATTATCTGTTGTAAGCTGCTGCATTTGTGTATAATGCTATGCTAGTTTACCTTCAGTCAACAGCTTTCACAAACAGAAAGACCAGTGTACCCTCCGTTGAATCAAAGTCTGGCCACTGGCTTTCTGGTGTTAAAGTAACAGTTACTGAACTCAGCTCAGAGAGCTCAAACTATTTCAAAAAGTAGCCACGGCTTCCTTTGTTGTCCACCATTTTGTCGCCATGTGACGAAGCCACATGGTGCATTGTCTCTCTCCACCATCTTGTTTTTTCTCTCTCTCTCTCTCTCTCTCTCTCTCGCTCTCTCTCTCGTCCACACACACACATACACACAACTGCACTTTTACACCTCATTCACAAGTTTTGCTTGATAATGTTTGTTTGCTTAGATTACTTTATAATAGTTATTTGTTTGATTAAGTTAATTGATTTTGGATTGATGTTGCTTTGTTTAAATAAATTCTGTTATAATTTAAGAGAGCAGTTGTTTGTGATTACTGGTGTATTTGCATTGTGATATAAGCTGGGTGCGAGGTCTTTGTGTACGGATTTCACACCTTCAATTTATTAAATATAGTTATTAATTACTAATAATATTAGTAATTAAGTAACTAATTTGAGACTGATTTTAGTGATATTTTGGTTATATTTCCCTGATTCCAGGGTGGTGCCCCAAGAGTTGATTAAACATAGTTTAATGATAAATGATGATAATGATAGTTTAATGATGTTGGTCAGTTGGTGGATGATGGTTAGTGGATATATTGTATTGGTTGGTTGGTTGGTTGAAAGTTTGGTTGAGAGATGGGTTGTTGGTTGGTTGATTGGTTTGTGTATGGGTTGGCGGTTGTGGGATAAGTTGGTGGTTGATTTTGTTGGATGGGTTGGTGGTTGTTTAGTTGGTTGGTCAGTTGGAGGTTGGTCTGCCGGTGGAAGGGTTGTTGATTGGTGGTTGGATGGTTGGTTGGATGGTTGGTTTGTGGGGGAATGGTAGGTCTGTTGGCGGATGGCTTGGTGGTTAGTTGGTAGGCTGGTTAGTTGGTTGGTTCAATCTTTGGATGGGTTGTTGATTGGTAGATGGTTTGGTTGGTTGGTTGATTGGCTGATTGTTGTTGGAGAAGCTATGGCTGAGTAACATAGTTTGTTTACAGAATGTTGTGTAAGCTCCCGTATCTTACTTTGTAGTTAGTCAATGAGTAAGTTGGCTAAACGAGCTAAAGTTGACATAGTTCATTAATTGTTTTATCTTTTGTAGTAACCAGTCTGTAGCAAAACTTTGTGGCAGTTTGTCAACTTGTTCCTGCAGCTTGTCAGTGTGTTTGTCAGTTAGAGCTTTTTTAGGAACACTAGAGTTACAACACATTTGTCCTTCCATCTGAATCATCTGCAGCCAAAAAATGCTGCTGTCACAGATGAGGAGCTGAAGACTTTACACAAGCTCCTCATTAATCAGGTTTTACAGCAGAAAAGGCAAAAAGGAAGAGTTGGATCTCTAATTTAACAATTTCAGATCAGAAATCAACCTTTATACTTATCACGCAGCGATAAGGAATATTATTTTGTTGCCAATTAAAAGTACAGGTAATCACCATTATCATAAATGTCAAAGGGGAAGTCATATTTAAAATAATGGACCTCTCTAATGTTCATTAGCTCATATTTAGCCTCATTTACTGCTTTTTTATTATTCTGTTCAACTGCAACTTCATCCTGTTCTCAACAGTTCAGAATCTGTCCTTAATATAACTAGAGGTGTTAAGTGAGTGTCTCCTTAAAAAGCTTGACAGACTAAAAAACAATCCACTATCTATATTCAAAAAGCCTTCACCTCACACACCTCCCTCCTCCCCCTCTGTTCTCCTCCAGAGCGTCCTCTGGTCTGAAATAAAATCTCTGGGTTGACAGGAGGAAGGAGGGAGGACTGGAAGGCCTTGAAATGCTGCAGAGTCTGACTATTAAAAAAAAAAAGCGAGGATAAATAAAGTAGATGAAGATGACGTCATGATACATATTTCCAAGCTGATTTTCCACGACAGGAAATGGCAAACAGCCTGGAAAAGAGAAGGGAAAGGGATGATTTCATCCTCTCATCAGAAGTCCAGTATTAAATCTGTTCATCATAATGATCACAGATAGAACAAGAGAATGAATCATAGTTATGGAGACACATTTTTCTTCTATTGGATCACTGTGATGATGTTATTTATGTGGAAGAGCAAAAGGAAAATACAGATCTACGTCAAGCTGCAACTTCCAGAAAAAAGGAAGCTAACACAGAGGTTTCAAGAAGCGGCAGTTCCTCCAGTGTCCACTAGAGTCTGTCTCCTGCAGAGAGTCAGTCCCCATAGAGCCCCATGTTAAAATGTCTAACTTTACAGCTGCAGTTCCTCCAGTGTCCACTAGAGTCTGTCTCATGCAGTGAGTCAGTCCCCATAGAGCTGGTACAAAAAAAGTTTGGGTCTCTAGAGCTCATTTCTCTCTTCAACTGTACGGGCTGAATGTTTATACTACTCACCTGTTTACATTTTATTACTGCTTAAAGGGATGTAGGATTAGGGGGCGTGGCCTCTTTGAGTGACAGATGGGACCTTTAGTTTTGCTTTGTTTTTTGTTGTTTCCTGTCAAAGCGTCTTTGAGTATTTAGAAAAGCGCTATATAAATGTAATTTATTATTATTATTATTATTATTATTATTATTATTATTAACCTCTGGGCCATCTTTGTGCTGTTGGAGCCTTTTGGAGG